AAAAACTCGCCCACAAATTCTTACTACCACCAAATCCCCCTTTTGCCCCCACCAAGTTTTTACCCCTTTCCATCCATTCACCTTCACACCTGCCCTAATACCCCCCCCAGCCTACCCCAAAAACCCCCAGCAACCTCCAAAACCCCCGATTAAAACAGAAAACCAACCCTACCAAAACCCCCCCCCCCCCCCCCGTTCCCGGTAGTGTAACACACCCCCCAAACCCCCTTTGTCGCGACCTCCTCACCCTAGCCTTTCCCCCCGGTTTTTCCACTTCACCCACTAACCCCCGGCTTCTAATTGCTAACCTCGGGCTGCCTTTGACGCCTGGGACCCCCCGGGGCATTGTGCCCCCCATGTCCATAAGAAAGTCACTAAATGGCATTCCCGCCCCCAAGTGTAAAAAAAACCTGTGTTCTATGGCTAGCAATGGACTATGGGGTAGGGCCTCCTCAGGGTCATTTTCAGTGTGAAGATCCTTCCGGCATCCCCCGAAAGGGGGCCGTCCACCACTTTCCCCAGCCGCCGATGTACACCCATAACCACTAAACACTTTTGGTAGCTGAGCGTTGCCCAAAAGGACATTCCTTACCTTCACCCAATAAAATACTTAGACACATCATGCAAGCATACTTCCACTCCGTTTGATACCATTTTCCTTTCTTGAAATTCTCGACAGGAAGTAGAAGCAGTCTCATGAACTTCACGAAGACCCTTGACATACCATTTCATGCCACACCCCAAAACTCTTTTTTGGGGGAGGGCATAACAGGAAAAGGGAGGAGAACGTTCACGGGCGCTGCTTAAAGTTTCCTCAACCAGCTCAATGCAGACAATTTTATGCGCCGGTTATTCGTCCACCATTTTGGTCTAATCTATGTTTTCCTCACCGGGTGGCATGAAGAAAAACGTAAACGTCCCTCCCCCCCGCGGGTCGAGAGACGAACTACAAAAAGAGTAAGTAAACATTACAGGGGGTGTGCTCCCAAGAAGTTCGGCGCCCTCAACTATATTCCACTTTTCCCTTATTTTTGCTGTTTCTGATGGAATTTTTCCAATACGGCAACCCACGACGTTTCTTATGTTTTTGACCGAATTGAGCGTTACACACAATTTCGGCCTCGATGACGCTTGATTTTTTCAAACACTATGTACAATTAATGTTACTCCGCCATTTTTTATTCGTCTTTTTACTACGCATTCCCCGCGATGCGGGTTTAAGATAAGAAAAAAAGATTTCGTTGGATTTTTAACCCCGGGGGGTTAGCCCCCCAAAACCCAAGAAGCGTGCGTCCTCGAGGACGTCAACTTATTCCTTTGGGCCTTTAAATCTTGCCCCCAGAGCACCCACACCAGCGACAAACACCCAGGTACCTATTTGCTGCTAGGTGAACGGGACAACGTGTAAGGAAACGTGTCGAATTTTTTTCCACCCGCCGGAATCGAACCCGGGCCCCCTCCGGGTGAAGCGGAGCTTTAGCCACCGGGGCCCCCTTTCACTAAAAATTTTCTCAAGTAAAACCAACACCACATTTTAATGAACTTTTTTATATTTTTTAATTTTTAGCATTCAAAATTTTTGGGGAAAAAATTAAAAAAAAATTTCACCCGGGGTCAAAAGTGGGGGGAGCACATCGATGTGGCTGCCTGGAACGTTTTTTTGTCAAGTGGTTTGGACTGGGGGCTTCTTTGTCTTCTTAAAATATTTTGTTTTCATGTTTAGCATCCTCTTCCAAACCCCGCAGCAGCTTACCAGGATGACTAAATTCACAGCGGGGAAGGGGGTTTTGGATTCTGTAATAAAAGCAGCCAGCTGTGTGGAATCCCCCCTTTACTCAAAGGATGACGTTCAAGCGGCTCACCATTCTCTCAAAATTATACTTGATCCCCCCCACATATCACAAACCGTGCAGAAGGGCACAGTTAGAGGCAAAACCTTTACTGCATTTTTCAAAGAAAACGGCCAAAAAAGTTCTAGGATTTTTTTTTACCCTTTTAATGTTTGGGTTTAAGGGATTACTACCTATCACTACCGGGGGTTATTAAAGGGGCTTCACGTACCCTTAGCACCATCAACAAGAAAAATTTTAAATTCCAAACCCAGAGATTAAACTCAACCTCACATACATATACCTGAGGAAATCAAGTGACATACATCCTTTTTCCCCTTACTTGGTAGTTTTGTCACAGCGAATGAAATACGTGTTTGCCCGGGCACGATGTACGAAACGATTAGGAGAAAACACTCTCGAAGGACTGTTTCTTGCGAACCCTGCTTCATATTTTCATGATTTTTATTTAAAGATACATAGAAACCTTTTAAAATATATATATATAAATAAATATATATATATATAATTATAAATAAATATATATAATATATATATTATATAAAATATATATATATAAATTATAATATTATTATATATATAAAATTATATTATATAAATATTATAAAATATATATATGTATATATGTATATAGGGCGGTACCACCTCTAGAGCGTTATGGGGACCCTCATCCTCAGAGAAAAAAAAAAAACTTGCTTCGGGGAAAACTCAAGGTTCTCCCTAAAGCTGTTTAGAAATTTTCCCCCCCCCCTCTACCACCCCCTATATTTAATTAATATATATTTTATTTAAAGACAAAATACTTAAACAAAACATTCACAAAGATCGATAGAAAGTAAAACAACTAGGTAACTCAGAGCTACATCTCGAATACTTCGTCCACTCCCCGGCGGTGGGCCGTGCCCAAATCTGCAGGCATTTCCTCCCCCGGGATCCAACCACCCTTGAAAGAAAAGCGGCGCCCTGTGGCCCTTTTGGTTTCTTGATGAGCTTTTACCCCAGCTCTATTAGGAATTTTAAGAGCAAAGCCCCATGCCCAAAGGGTCTCCGCCCTATTGGGATGAATTATAGCAAGGGAAGGTCCATATTTGCGGATCTTCGGGGTTTTTCCCTGGGCTGGCACTCAACCCCCCCTTCACTTGGAGTAGGCAAGTAGGTGTCTGCCAATTGGCGGCACATGTGTAGCCCGGGCAATCTACTTTTCCATCCCCCAAGTAGCATAGTGGCTCCATCAGGACGTTTTTGACTTCCTAAACCCTCTGCACGGGGGGCCCGTTGAGCTGGGCAACGGGTTTGGGGCGGGGTTTCTTTTTAGATTCTTGACCTCCTCATGCCTGGCATATTTTCCCCTTCTGCTTGTGACACACGAACCATAAAGCCCCGAATTACAGCTGTCCCCCTCCGCAAATACACCTATGTTGGGTGAGGATGGGGGGGGCAGGCAAGAGCAACCCCAAATCCGAAGGGCCTTGGGTCTAGTCAAATGCCCAGGGGGGAAATTTGGGGAACAGCAAACGGAAATCTCCTGAGTGGGGGCCCTTCACTGCCAGGAGACAGCTTTGTCCTTCCGATCTTGGGAGAGCATTGTGTTGGCGTTTTTTTTTTCCATGATCGGTTTGTCCCAGGGACTTTTTTGGGTTTTTTGTGAGACTGGTCTACTGGAGGAACTGTAAGGGGTGTCCCCCCGAATCGCTCTTCAGTAAACCTGGGCTTGGGCTCCTACCACGTCTCTAAAAGCTTTCGGGAACAATCTCTTGTCTAATGCACTGGAACCTCAGGTGTCGATTTTCGCGAGGGGGGTTGGGGGGGTTGTTTCAAAAAGGGGTGCACCCCTCAGGAATGATCTTGGAATAGAAAAGGGCACCTTGTGAGGGATACAGACATCATGGGCACAAATTGTTTTATTCTCTCCTCCTTTCTCAACGGGAAACATTGAAGTGAGTCTTGAAAGTAAGGCACCTTGTGAGTTGATACAGACATCAGGCATCAAGATTGCTTATTCCTCCTCCATTCTCCCTCAGGACATTCAATTTTTCCTTGAGGACTGTGTCGATGGGCCCGGGGACCCACGGTGCTCCCAAGAGGGGGCGTTTAACGGGGTGGGATAGAGACTTCTGGGGGATTTCCCCACAGCATTGATTATTTCCTGGTTCGCTGTGATGATTTCCACTTTGGGGGGATTGAGGTGAGTCCCAAATTTTCTCCCCGGTTTTCCCAAAACCCGTTGTAGGTCCCCAAACCCGGACTCTTCAGTACCCCCCGAGTGCCATCATCTAGGTACCAATTTGACTCGGGGGGGGGTGCTAGGCCCCCGGAAATTAGTTCCTTACTGCCAAGCAGAAGAGAAATGGGGCAGTGGGGGCCCCTGCTAACACCTTTTAGGGGAAAACAGGCCCAAACAAAAAATTGGGGTTTGCTGTAGCCGGCGAAATGAAGGGGAAAAAAACTGGGGGAACGATCCCCAACAGCTGGCAAGACATATCTCCTTTTACCAATTAAAGGCATTTCAAAATCAAGTTTTACTACGGGCTTGTCTTTTGGTAGGTCCCCTTAGGGGCCCTTTCCGTATGAGCTGCAGCTTCACTGCCTTGAAACCCCAAAGCCCAGTTTGGGGTGGCTGGAGTAAACTGGCAGCTTCTGGCGAAAGTTTCTTTCGCGCTTTGGGAACGAGACCAAGAGTGTTTCCAACCCCAATGGGTCATTCCCCATCCTTCTTCTTCAAAGCACACGGGGCTCCAAAAGAGAAGGTTTTTAATTTTTTCTGGGGTTCGCCCACCCGGGAGTTGTGACGAAAATTGTTAACTCGGTGAGAAGAAGTATGCAAGAGCACCGAGTACTGGATTTTTACCATCCCTTAGGTGCTGAGGTAAATTCCCGTGTAAACCTCCCGCAGATCCCGCAGGAAATGACACAACCCTTATAACCCCTTCCCATTCAGACAAAATTAAATAATATATATTATATATATATAATAAATATATATATAAATATATATTAAAATATATATATATATAATATAATATATATATATATTACATATATACTGTTGTTGTTTGTGTATTTTAGCTTTTGAACATAACAGTAGTGGGTTTTATAGGCATAACTAAGACGCTGTATAGCCCCTTTTGGCTTAGCGCTTTTTTTTTTATTATAATAAAATAAATAACTAAGTATTATGGCCAAATTACCCAACAGGTTTTTTGAGTACAAAACAAAGCATGGAATATTTTTTTTTTAACTTTTGAAAAGGTACCCGGGGGGGGGGGCAACCCAAGGGAACAAAGCATGTTACTGGGGCCGTAAGCATTGTGAATATTAACTTTTTTACTCCCCAATAGAACTAAATTTTGATGATTTAAAACACAGTGCAATACTAGGGACTTTATTGTTTAAAAGTTTTGCCTATACATAGGCTTCTTCTTAAAAAAAGAGGGAGCAGGTGTAGTATGAAATGAAGGTAAAAATTCTCAACCTTGGAGAAATAAATTTGATGGGCAGAGCTCACCTGGAGAAAATTTTCTACCATGTAGCTACCAAAACAAGGGTACCCTGTCGATTTTTTTCCAGCTGAGGTACTGACCTGCGCCTCTGTATTGACTAAGAATCACTGTGGGGGCGAAACGTTTTATCAACAAAGATACCCAACTTTGCACATGTGACTTAATCACAAATTTTCGGTTTTTTTACCATTTTTAACGAAAAAACTTATCACTTTATCACCGTCCCATGCATCAAAGCGGACATACAAAACCTGAACCACGATGACGTCTTTAGTTATACACAAAAGAAAGGATCGAAGTTTCCTCGGTTTAAACCTTCATCTACAAAAACACGACGAAAACTCCCCCCTTTTATTTTAAACCTTTACGTAAAAATGAGTAAGTTAGATAAGTCAAGAAATTTAAAACCACCCAGATGGGCTACCCAGATTGGCATTTATTTTACCCCCGGGAATGACTTTTCTCGACGCTTTTTTACACAAAAAATAAATCCTTCGTTTTTTGAAACGGGGAGCAAACCGTAATTATTTCATTTTTACCTGCAAATTAAGTACTGAAGAAATGTAAATATAAACAAATTCGTATGAATTTTTTACCAAGGGCTCGTGAAATTTTGTCTTACTAAATTTTAAAAACGGAGATTGTTTCTTCCATTTTTTTAAAGAATTTACCTGCATTTTTTCAGTGTAAAATTTTTCTAAAAAATTTTAATAGTCATGGGCAAAAACGCACACACACACACACACACACACACACACACACACCCCCACACACACAACCCACACACACAACAACACACACAATATATAATATAATAATATATAATAAAATATAAAATTTTATAATTTTATATATAAAGTTTGTGTGTGTGTGTGTGTGTGGTGTGTGGTTGTGTATTTTAAAACACCGCTATCTACCCCCTAGGCAGGGGGGACCCAAAAAAGAAAAAACACTTTCACCCTTCATTCTACAATGTCTTGCCCGAGGGGCCCCCGATACACATTTTTGATGCCCCTCCTAACTGCAAATATCCCCCCCCCCGTCAGAGACAGGCACTCGGGCCGGCTAACCGGGTTTTCCCCAAATCCCTTCACAAATGTTACTTTTTTCACACTCCAACATTTTCAAATTTTCCCAAAAAACCATTTACTTCCACTCCTATCTATCACGCCACACACGCAGCTGTAAATTTTTTTTTACAAAACTTCGATTGACAATTAATTATTTAAAAAAAAATGAAGGGAAAAACAGAGTTTGTAAAAAATGTTAGGGTTGTTTTAAGCACTGAACTCATATTAAAGTCAAAGAACACTAAATAAAACCGGAATTTTTTCAGGGGCGAATTAATCCAATATAACATTATTTATTTGTCAAATTTGGGACTAGAGAAAAGTAACTGAATGGGATAGGGAGGGGGTTTTCCTTGAGCTAATATGTCCTTGATCCAAAGAAATTTAAATTACCCCTCTTCGGGTCAAAACCCGGTCACCTCTAATCCTCAGGGGCTGAAAACACTCGGCTAGCGTTTTCCCATGAATAAAACAGCTAAGTTTGCCCCAACACAGGTTTTATGCACTCACAGGGCTTTAAAACGATAAATTTAAAATATAACAAAAGGGTTAACAACGTTTTCACTGAAAATTTTTTTTCTTTATTAGAACCATCACTTAGATTTTTAATTTTAAAAACAAAAACACAAAAATAAGGAATACTGCGTAGGTTCCTACTGGGGAAGCAGGCCCCTCACACCCCTCATGTACCCATCCACCAATAAAAGAAAATAATAAAACAAGAAAACCAGCATCCAAGTGCCAAAAAATTTTTTAAATTGTAGTAATTTAAAAAATTAATACGATGACTTCGATTTTTATAATCATGGGAAACTTAAAAAAACCCCAGGGTTATAAGCGCCTGGTTTTGGGGGGCAATCAGTTTTATCCAAGGAAGCTCCGACTCCTTGGATGGAGAACCTCTTTACAAGCATCAAGGCACCCCCTTCCTTTGAGAAGAGGCTCATTTGTAAACAAAAAATAAGCACAGAATACGCGGCATTTCTTGTAAACAATAATTATTTTGTTTATATATTAATCTTCTAAAGCAATATCAAAATGACTCTACTGAACAATGTTATTTATATTTTTTCTCTCTCTAGAATCATAGTGAACTTATTCAGCAGCTGAAGGACACGTTTCGTTTCGGACACCGTCACCTGGACATCCCTATCTCAGGAGAAGTCTCCGATATAGTGCTGAAACAGCTACGAAGATTCTGTTCCAGCAACTGTTATAGTTTTAATCGCTTTTTTATAACTACTTCGGTAAGTTTTTGGGGTAAATTTTTGTAATGTAGGATTTGTAATGTGGCATTTGTGTGGCCGAGTGAACTAGTCACAATTGATTGTGACTAGACCTACCTGGAGTTCATTACCTTTGTAAATTGAGTTCATTACCTTTGTAAATTGAGTTCATTACCTTTGTAAATTGTGAGTTCATTACCTTTGTAAATTGTGAGTTCATTACCTCTGTAACTTGCTCAGCTATCAAAACTTTGGAGTCCAGTCCCTGGACCAATTATGTACTTCTGTAATCTTTTGACTACCGCCCACAGATGGGTATGGGGTGCATAATAAACATAAACTAACGAGTGGACTAGAGCGCTGCCTGAGAATCTTGACCATTCTCAGCAGTAGTTTCGAATCCTGCTGACTGCGATCTTTCTTTGTATATACCCGCTCTTATATGTCAAGATATAAGTAGATATCTATAATAAATAATTCTAATCATATATAATTTTGAGAAGGAAGGGAGGAAGAGAAAGCATACAAGAGAAAGGTGGGTTTGTTGTAGGTTATAAAGAATGTTTGTATCGTAAGGTGTATAGTTCGTTAATACTGCAACATGTTCAGCTATCAAAACTTTGTGGGCCAGTCCCTGGACCCATTATGTGCCTCTGTAATCGTTTGACTACATCCCACAGGATGGGTATGGGGTACCTAATGAAGATTTTATACTGAAAGGTGTACTAGGATAGAAGAATGTTTATATTTCCTCGAGCGCCTTGATGAGACTGAAACACATTATTATTATTATTATTATTATTATTATATTATTATTATTATTATTATTATTATTATTATTGTACCTGTATTGTTGAAATTGCTACTAATTGTATTTAATGCTTTATGTTATGGGTTCATCGTTTAGTTATGATTTTAATAATAATAATAATTGTTTATGCGTTTATACATATATTGTTGCTGTATGCTTACGATAAACATTTCTTTCTATCGATTTTTAGATACCAGTGCCAGTAAGATTAGACGATGCTCTGAAACTTATTCACGATTTCTACGAGCGCTTAGACAAAACCCCGGTTGACGTCCTCTATTTGGAAAATCCTGTGGGACTTGAGGGTATGTTGATGATACATGTATTCTCATTCTCTCACATTTCATAAAAATGCAGAACATTTTACTAATAAGATACAGATTTTCAAGTATTAAAATATAGAACACTTTTCACAGGTAGCGACCCACTGACCATCTTCCAAAGCCTTAGATACGGCACTTATTGGAACGTGCTAGACGAGGGTGACATCTTCAGACGCGACGAGGATACCGGTACCTTATGTGTCATACCTGACATACTACAGAACCTGTGGGCCATCTGGGATTACCTTGCTAGATACGTTAGTAACTGCTGGAGTTTTGTTTAATGTCTGGAAGACCTTGTCTTAAGCCATGCCATGCTGTAAGCCATACTTATCGTAAGAGGTGACTAAAAGGCGGGGAATAAGAGGCTAGTAACCTCTTCTCCTGTATAAATTACTAATTTATAAAGAAAAGCCCGAGTTTTTCTTTTAAGGTCGCCCTGCCTTGGTGGGATACGGGTTAGTTAGTGGGAAGTACAATGCCTGAACTCTAAATGAGGGGTTTGGAATATTGGCAGTTTGGAGTGACATCTAAACTGTCATATCTGGGCTCCTCTGCAAAGACAGTGATTATGTGCAAATGATGGTGAAAGTGTTTTTTTTAGTCACCCTGCCTCGGTGGGAGACGGCCGTCTTGTTGAATATATTATATATATATATATATATATATATATATATATATATATATATATATATATATATATATATATATATATATATATATATATATATATATATATATATGGGGTGTGTGTGTGTGTGTGTGTGTGTGTGTGTCGTACCGCATAGGTAAAACTGGTCAGTTAGCAAGAACTCATTAAAATTAAGTCCTAAAATTTTCTCTAATACGTTTAGAAATATATTTTTTCATTTATGTTAATGTAAAAATGAATAATTTTGTACCAAAAGAACCTTAGAAAACTTACCTAACCTTATTATAACAAGCGCAATTTAATTTAGCTTAGTCCAACTAAATGTATTTTAGATAGGTCTACAATAATTTAATAATAAACAAACACAATGAAATATATTTTTTTCGCTAGGTTCAGAATGATTTTTGCGAAATTACTGCATACCCAAATTTTCGCTTGCGTTATTCGGCAAAAAGAGCGTTGCTGTTTAAGCCAGAATCGCAAGTTTTACCTATTCGGCACGATATATATATATATATATATATATATATATATATATATAATATATATATATATATATATATATATATATTATCTTAATAGTTCTTGGTCTTATTACTTTTCCTTTTATATCCATGGGGAAGTGGAATAAGAATCTTTCCTCCGTAAGCCATGCGTGTTGTAAAAGTCAACTAAAATGCCGGAACAATGGGCTAGTAACCCCTTTTCCTGTAAATATTACTAACAAGAATAAGAAGAAGAAAATTGTCAAAGTGGGAAGTCTGAATGTGCGTGGATGTTGTGCAAATGATAAGAAAGAGATGATTGTGGATGTTATGAATGAGAAGAAGCTGGATGTCCTGGCTTTAAGTGAAACAAAGCTGAAGGGGGTGGGAGTGTTTCAATGGAGAGGAATAAATGGGATTAGGTTAGGGGTTTCAAATAGAGTTAGAGCTAAAGAAGGAGTAGCAATAATGTTGAAGGATAAGCTATGGCAGGAAAAGAGGGACTATAAATGTATTAATTCAAGGATTATGTGGAGTAAAATAAAGATTGGATGTGAAAAGTGGGTTATAATAAGTGTGTATGCACCTGGAGAAGAGAGAAGTGTAGAGGAGAGAGAGTTTTGGGAAATGTTGAGTGAATGCGTGGGGAGTTTTGAATCAAGTGTGAGAGAAATGGTGGTTGGGGATTTCAATGCTAAAGTGGGTAAAAATGTTATGGAGGGAGTAGTAGGTAAATTTGGGTGCCAGGGGTAAATGTAAATGGGGAGCCTTTAATTGAGCTATGTGTAGAAAGAGATTTGGTAATAAGTAATACATATTTTATGAAAAAGAGGATAAATAAATATACAAGGTATGATGTAGCACGTAATGAAAGTAGTTTATTAGATTATGTATTGGTGGATAAAAGGTTGATGGGTAGGCTCCAGGATGTACATGTTTATAGAGGGGCAACTGATATATCGGATCATTATTTAGTTGTAGCTACAGTTAGAGTAAGAGGTAGATGGGAAAAGAGGAAGGTGGCAACAACAAGTAAGAGGGAGGTGAAAGTGTATAAACTAAGGAGGAGGAAGTTCGGGTGAGATATAAGCGACTATTGGCAGAAAGGTGGGCTAGTGCAAAGATGAGTAGTGGGGGGGTTGAAGAGGGTTGGAATAGTTTTCAAAATGCAGTATTAGAATGTGGGGCAGAAGTTTGTGGTTATAGGAGGGTGGGGACAGGAGGAAAGAGGAGTGATTGGTGGAATGATGAAGTAAAGGGTGTGATAAAAGAGAAAAAGGTAGCTTATGAGAGGTTTTTACAAACCAGAAGTGTTATAAGAAGAGCAGAGTATATGGAGAGTAAAAGAAAGGTAAAGAGAGTGGTGAGAGAGTGCAAAAGGAGAGCAGATGATAGAGTGGGAGAGGCACTGTCAAGAAATTTTAATGAAAATAAGAAAAAAATTTGGAGTGAGTTAAACAAGTTAAGAAAGCCTAGGGAAAGTATGGATTTGTCAGTTAAAAACAGAGTAGGGGAGTTAGTAGATGGGGAGATGGAGGTATTAGGTAGATGGCGAGAATATTTTGAGGAACTTTTAAATGTTAAGGAAGAAACAGGGGCAGTAATTTCATGCACTGGTCAGGGAGGTATACCATCTTTTAGGAGTGAAGAAGAGCAGAATGTAAGTGTGGGGGAGGTACGTGAGGCATTACGTAGAATGAAAAGGGGGTAAAGCAGCTGGAACTGATGGGATCATGACAGAAATGTTAAAAGCAGGGGGGGATAGAGTGTTGGAGTGGTTGGTACTTTTGTTTAATAAATGTATGAAAGAGGGGAAGGTACCTAGGGATTGGCGGAGAGCATGTATAGTCCCTTTAAATAAAGGGAAAGGGGACAAAAGAGACTGTAAAAATTATAGAGGAATAAGTTTACTGAGTATACCAGGAAAAGTGTACGGTAGGGTTATAATTGAAAGAATTAAAGGTAAGACAGAATGTAGGATTGCGGATGAGCAAGGAGGTTTCAGAGTGGGTAGGGGATGTGTAGATCAAGTGTTTACATTGAAGCATGTATTGTGAACAGTATTTAGATAAAGGTAGGGAAGTTTTTATTGCATTTATGGATTTAGAAAAGGCATATGATAGAGTGGATAGGGGAGCAATGTGGCAGATGTTGCAAGTATATGGAATAGGTGGTAAGTTATTAAATGCTGTAAAGAGTTTTTATGAGGATAGTGAGGCTCAGGTTAGGGTGTGTAGAAGAGAGGGAGACTACTTCCCGGTAAAAGTAGGTCTTAGACAGGGATGTGTAATGTCCCCATGGTTGTTTAATATATTTATGATGGGGTTGTAAAGGAAGAAAATGCTAGGGGTGTTCGGGAGAGGGGTGGGTTTAAATTTTGGGGAATCAAATTCAAAATGGGAATTGACACAGTTACTTTTTGCTGATGATACGTGCTATGGGAGATTCTAAAGAAAATTGCAAAGGTTAGTGGATGAGTTTGGGAATGTCTGTAAAGGTAGAAAGTTGAAAGTGAACATAGAAAAGAGTAAGGTGATGAGGTATCAAATGATTTAGATAAAGAAAAATTGGATATCAAATTGGGGAGGAGGAGTGGAAGAAGTGAATGTTTTCAGATACTTGGGAGTTGACGTGTCGGTGGATGGATTTATGAAGGATGAGGTTAATCATAGAATTGATGAGGGAAAAAAGGTGAGTGGTGCGTTGAGGTATATGTGGAGTCAAAAAAACGTTATCTATGGAGGCAAAGAAGGGAATGTATGAAAGTATAGTAGTACCAACACTCTTATAGGGTGTGAAGCTTGGGTGGAAAAATGCAGCAGCGAGGAGACGGTTGGAGGCAGTGGAGATGTCCTGTTTAAGGGCAATGTGTGGTGTTAAATATTATGCAGAAATTCGGAGTGTGGAAATTAGGAAAAGGTGTGGAGTTATAAAAGTATTAGTCAGAGAGCAGAAGAGGGGGTTTTTGAGGTGGTTTGGTCATTAGAGAGAATGGATCAAAGTGAATGACATGGAAAGCATATAAATCTATAGGGGAAGGAAGGCGGGGTAGGGGTCGTTCGAAAGGGTTGGGGAGGGGGGGTAAAGGGGGTTTTGTGGGCAAGGGGCTTGATTCAGCAAGCGTGCACGAGGGTTTGATGGAGTGAATGGAGACGAATGGTATTTGGGGCCTCGATCTGTTGGAATGTGAGCAGGGGATATTTAGTGGAGGGATTCAGGGAAACCCGGGTTTTTTTATTTGTGGACTTGAGTCCTGGAAATTGGAAGTACAATGCCTGCACTTTAAAGGAGGGGTTTGGGATATTGGCAGTTTGGAGGGATATGTTGTGTACTTTATATGTATATGCTTCTAAACTGTTGTATTCTGAGCACCTCTGCAAAAACAGTGATAATGTGTGAGTGTGGTGAAAGTGTTGAATGATGATGAAAGTATTTTCTTTTTGGGGATTTTATTTCTTTTTTGGGTCACCCTGCCTCAGGTGGGAGACGGCCGACTTGTTTAAATAATATATATATATATATATATATATAATATATATATATATATTATATATATATATATATATATATATAATAAAATATATATATATATATATATATATATAATATGTCGTGCCGAATATGTAAAACTGGTCAATTAGCAAGAACTCATTTAAAATTAAGTCCTTTCTAAAATTTTCTCTTATACGTTTAAAGATATATTTTTTTCATTAATGTTAATGTAAAAATTTTAATTTTGCACCAAAAGAATTTGAGAAAACTTACCTAACCTTATTATAACAAGAGCAATTTATTTTATCCTAACCCAACTAAATATATTTTAGATTTGTTTACAGTAATTTAATACTAACCAAACACAGTGAAATATATTTTTTTCGTTAGGTTCAGAATGATTTTGGCGAAATTATTGCATACACAAATTTTCACTTGTCCTATATGGCGAAATGAGCGTTGCTATTTAAGCCAAGATCGCAAGTTCTGCCTATTCGGCACGACATATATATATATATATATATATATATAATATATATATATATATATATATATATATATATATATAATATATATATATATATATATATATATATTTGCAGGAAGTGCTACTGTCACATCCTGTGATGTGACTAATTTTTTACCGGATGGACAAGAAAGCCAGCGGAAGCTTTTTTTTTTCTGACCAAAAGCCAGGTGAAATTATCATACTTTCCTGATAACTCCTGGGGAAAGGGGAGAGGGGGTACTGGTGTAGGTATGGGATGTTGCATAAAGACCTTCATAACTTTTTCAGGTATATAACACCAGTTAGAGGCACACGTAATGTTGGTCTAGGTATGCGGCATTAACTGGGGTGGTCCAGGTACGTGGAATTAAATAGGGACTTAAGTGAATCACTTGTAGATTTGTTCCGCATAGGGTATGTACACCAAGAGATGTATATATCTTTCCCTTTAGGAGGTACCTTGATGCTGCTGGAGGGCTCTTGAATTGGATCTATCCTCACTTTCCTTGGATCATACCTGATATTCTCCCATTTCTCAATCGTTGTATGACATGACCCGCAATGGGTTTAGTACTTCCTAAATATAATAATAATAATCAATATACATTTGCTGTTAAAGCGACACCTAAACTGTGGTATCTGCGCGCATCTGGCAAGACAAGTCATATCTTACCTACGAGACTAAAAGTGTCAGTTTACCACCAGTATTGTGTGAATTATCTCCGTTATGATCTTAGGACATGAAAAATTGTTCACTCCTACAAAAGTAGTGTGACATATAATTTCTGACCAGGTGGAGCGGTTAAGGCAGGGAAAGGCCTGGGTCAAGTGAACATACTTTAATAAGCTGCGTGTTACAGTAACTCATCACAATGACTTCCATCGACATCAGCAGTAATCTTCCACTTGCTCTCCCTTGGAAGTCCTGGTATATAAACTGGCGTGTCCTGGTATATACACTGTATGATCTCTTACGGGTTTTGCAAGTGAAAGTATACTGCATGTATACTTTCACTTGCAGGTCCTGGAATACCAATCGTATGTATACTTACACTTATATGTCTTTGTATGTAAACTATTTATGCACTCATCCTTGCAGGTCCTGGGATGTAGACTGGCTCACAATCTTGGACTGAAAAACTTCTCACAACCTCAGATTGAGAAACTCCTGGAAGGTAGGGAAGCCTCCATTTTTTTTTTTTACAATTTATGTTGCTAATCTCCTTCAAGAGAGGGAGAGAGAGGTGCTTTGATACTGCTGAGGGCTTTTGATCAAAGGCAGCTTCAGTATTCACATGCTGTACGTCACTTGCTAAAAAATTTAGACCCTGTGGGCAAACAGCGAAGACTAGGTTATTGGTTAGCATTGTAAATTGACAAACGAAACGCCAAGCCGGTTGTTGGTCATTTAGCGCAATCTGGCGGAGGCTCGATCCTCCGTCTCCTAATCCCACAATAAAGCTGCTACCTCATATGTTCCTGTTCCACTAAGAGAGACTTTATATCTTTGTGTATCAGTTCCAGGGCACACTACAGCCTTTCTGTAAATTTTGGTCTCAGTCAAAACCGGCTCTCCTCTTTTTTTTAAATTCTTATGAGATATCAGGTACCTTTTTGAGATATCAAGTGCTTCTTTATAAATTAGGTACCTTTTTGAGATATCAAGTGCTTCTTTATAAATTAGGTACCTTTATAAAAATCAGGTGCTTTTTTAGAAATCAGATCTTTTTAGAAATCAAGTATCTTTTATAGAAATCAGGCCTTATTTTAGAAATCAAATGCCATTTTTTATAACTCACCTACTTTTTAGGAATATGGAACCTTTTCTTAGGAATCAGATTCCCGTTTATAACTCCATGGAGAAGTGGAACAGAATTCTTCCTCCGAAAGCCATGCGTGTCGTAAGAGGCGACTAAAATGCCGAGAGCAAGGGGGCTAGTAACCCCTTCTCCTGTATAAATTACTAAATTTAACAAGAGAAACTTTCGTTTTTCTCTTTAGGTCACCCTGCATCTGTGGGAGACGGCCGGGTCGTTGAAAAAAAAAAACAATTCCCGTTTATTAATCAGAAGAATATTTTAGACATGCTATATTTAAATAAAACACATTTTAGAGATGGGCCTTTCCTTTAGAGGTCATGTGCCATTTTCTTTAGGAATCGGGTTCCGTTTTCAGAAACCAGAGAACTTTCACGGCGCGCATAACGGAGATAAAACACCTCAATTACTGGGAGCGCTTGAGGTTTCTAAACCTCTATTCCCTGGAACGCAGGAGGGAGAGATACATGATTATATACACGTGGAAAATCCATAGAGGGACTAGTACCGAACTTGCACACGAAAATCACTCACTACGAAAGCAAAAGACTTGGCAGACGATGCACCATCCCCCCAATGAAAAGCAGGGGTGTCACTAGCACGTTAAGAGACCATACAATAAGTGTCAGGGGCCCGAGACTGTTCAACTGCCTCCCAGCACACATAAGGGGGATTACCAACAGACCCCTGGCAGTCTTCAAGCTGGCACTGGACAAGCACCTAAAGTCAGTTCCTGATCAGCCGGGCTGTGGCTCGTACGTTGGTTTGCGTGCAGCCAGCAGCAACAGCCTGGTTGATCAGGCGCTGATCCACCAGGAGGCCTGGTCACAGACCGGGCCGCGGGGGCGTTGACCCCCGAAACTCTCTCCAGGTAAACTCCAGGTAAACGTAACTAATTTGAATAACAGATACTCATTTTAGAAATATTTCCCTTTTTATAAGTTACGTGCCCCTTTTTTAAGGATAAGGTGCTGTTTGTCTAATCAAGTGCTTTTGTAAAGTATCCTATGTCATTTCAGAGGCAACTGTGCACCCACGGGTGTTGCAGGTGGAGGTGAACCTGTATAGCATGAAGGAGGAGCTTCGTAGCATGTGTCAGGAGAATAACATTGCTGTGTGTGCCATACACCCCTTTGGTAATCCCTTTTATGTGCCAAGGTGAGGTATACATCCCTTGGGTAATCCCCCTTATGGGCCCACATGAATCAGTGCACGGAGGTGGGAGGTCTTAGGGTACTCACTGTGGTGTTAGGGTACTCACTGTGGTGTTTCTGGTGTTGACAAAGGAGGTGGGAAATGTTAGCGTGTGTGGTGTTCCTGATGTTCGGGAAATAAATGTGTTGGAAAGGTTGATGTGTTTGGGAGGTAAATGTGTTAGGTAGGTAAAGGTATTTTGTTATGAATATGCTATTACAGAACCAGTGCGACTACTGGAAGTACTGATAATAATAATAATAATAATAATAATCAGCATCATCACACTTGATAAAGTCGTATAAAAAGTTTCCCGGCAAGCAGCGTGTGGATTTCACTACTTGTCGGCTTAGGCCATCGTTCATCTGCTATCATCTATATCATTATTATCAACCTGATGTGCTGGTATTTCAGGACAGGTAAACCTGCCCTTATACACAACCCTCTGGTGAACAGGATGGCTGACGTGATGGATATTGATGCTAAGATAGTGCTGCTGTGTCACCTGTATCAGGCACAGATCCCCTTCGTCTTGGACAACGATATGATGATTGGCATCGGTTGGATGTTCCAGGTACTGGGGAAGGCTCTAGGAGGACGCTTCCCATTTTTTGTTAAACACAGTTTCAGCAGTAATGATATAAATCAAAGGGGACAAAAATCAGTAATGCATATATATATATATAATATATATATATATAATATAATATATATATTATATATATATATATTATATATATATATATATATAAGAAAAATATAGGAAGTACCACCTCTATAGCTGGAATGGGGACCCTCATCCTCAGAGAAGACAATAAACGTACCTCAGGGAAAACTCAAGGTTCTCCCCGAGCTGTTTGAATATATATATATAATATATATATATATATATATATATATATATATAATATATAAATATATATATATATATATATATATAATATATTGTAGGTAGTAGGTTGGTAGACAGCAACCACCCAGGGAGGTACTACCGTCCTGCCAAGTGAGTGTAAAACGAAAACCTGTAGTTGTTTTACATGATGGTAAGATTGCTGGTGTCCTTTTTTCTGTCTCATAAACATGCAAGATTTCAGGTACGTCTTGCTACTTCTACTTACACTTAGGTCACACTACACATACATGTACAAGCATATATATACACACCCCTCTGGGTATTCTTCTATTTTCTTTCTAATTCTTGTTCTTGTTTATTGCCTCTTATCTCCATGGGGAAGTGGAACAGAATTCTATCTCCGTAAGCCATGCGTGTTGTAAGAGGCAATTAAAATGCCGGGAGCAAGGGGCTAGTAACCCCTTCTCCCGTATAAATTACTAAATTTAAAAGAGAAACTTTCGTTTTTCTTTTTGGGCCGCCCTGCCTTGGTGGGATACGGCCGGTGTGTTGAAAGAAAGATATATATATATATATATATATATATATATATATATATATATATAATATATATATATATATATATATATATATATATATATATATATATTTTATTGCCTGCTGTATTTTGGGCACACCCCAGCTCTGAGGAGCTGGATGAGATTTTCGCCTTATAATTGGTGATACACACGTAACAACATGTACCGTATATGCCACCTTTATATCAACAATGTATCTCTTAAATCTTCTGTACCATATTATGTAATAAAATATTCCTATTTGTTTGTTGAAATATATTATATATATATATATAATATATATATATATATATATATATATATATATATATATATATATATATATATATATATATATATATATATATATATTTTAATATATGTCGTGCCGAATATGTAAAACTGGTCAATTAGCAAGAACTCATTTAAAATTAAGTCCTTTCTGAAATTTTCTCTTATACGTTTAAAGATATATTTTTTTTCATTAATGTTAATGTAGAAATTTTTAATTTTGCACCAAAAGAATCTTAGAAAACTTACCTAACCTCATTATAACAAGAGCAATTTATTTTAGCCTAACCCAACTAAATATATTTTAAATACGTTTACAATAATTTAGCACTAAACAAACACAATCAAATATATTTTTTTCGTTAGGTTCAGAATGATTTTGGCGAAATTATTGCATACACAAATTTTCACTTGTCCTATATGGCAAGATAAGCGTTGCTATTTAAGCCAAGATCGCAAGTTCTGCCTATTCGGCACGACATATATATATATATATATATATATATATATATATATAAATATATATATATATATATATATATATATATATATATATATATTAATATATTCAACAAGTCGGCCGTCTCCCACCTAGGCAGGGTTACCCAAAACGAAAATCCTTTCATCATCATTCCACACTTTCACCTCACTCATATATAATCACTGTTTTTGCAGAGGCGCCCAGATACAACGGTTTAGAAACATATATAAAGATACAATATAAAAAGTGACCTGAAATAATTACAATATCAGGGCCCCAATTATATATATACCGTCCTGTTACACATCCCACTAAACTGCCAATATCCCAAACCCCTCCTCTAAACTGCAGGCATTGTACTTCCCATTTACAGTACTCAAGTCCGGCTATATAAAAATAACCGGTTTCCCTGAATCCCTTCACTAAATATTACCCTGCTTACACTCCAACAGCTCGTCAAGTCCCATAAACCATTCGTTTCCATTCACTCCTATCGAACACGCTCACACATACTTCCTGGAAGTCCAAGCCCTTCGCCCACAAAACCTCCTTTACCCCTTCCAACCTTTTCGAGGACGACCCCTCTCCCCGCCTTCCTTCTCTTACAGATTTATACGTTATCCAAGTCATTCTACTTTGATCCATTCTCTCTAAATGACCAAACCACCTCAACAACCCCCCCTTCAGCCCTCTGACTAATATTTTTATTAACTCCACACCTCCTAATTTCCACACTCTCAAATTGCATAATATTTACACCACACATTGTCCTTAGACAATACATCTCCATTGCCTCCAGCCGCCTTCTCGCTACAGCATTTGCAACCCAAGCTTCACACCCATATAAGAGTGTTGGTACCACTATACTTTAGTACATTCCCTACTTTGTCTCTACAGATACCTCAGTGCACCACTCACCTTTTTTCCTCCATCAATTCTATGGTTAACCTCGTCCTTCATAAACCCATCCGCTGACAAGTCAACTCCCAAATATCTGAAAACATTCACTTCTTCCATATTCCCTCTCTCCAATGTGATATCCAATTTTTCTTTATCTAAATCGTTTGATACCCTCATCACCTTACTCTTATCTATGTTCACTTTCAATTTTCTACCTTTACGCACCTTCCCAAACTCGTTTACTAACCTTTGCAACTTTTCTTTAGAATCTCCCAAAAGCACAGTATCATCAGCAAAAAGCAACTGTGTCAACTTCCATTTTGTATTTGGTTCCCCATATTGTAATCCCACCCTTCTCTCCAACACCTTAGCATCTACTTCTTTTACAACCCCATTTATAAATATATTAAACAACCATGGTGACATTACACATCCCTGTCTAAGACCTACTTTTACCGGGAAGTATTCTCCCTCTCTTCTACACACCCTAACCTGAGCCTCACTATCCTCATAAAAACTCTTAACAGCATTTAGTAACTTACCACCTATTCCATATACTTGCAACATCTGCCACATTGCTCCCCTGTCCACTCTATCATATGCCTTTTCTAAATCCATAAATGCAATGAAAACTTCCCTACCTTTATCTAAATACTGTTCACATATATGCTTCAATATAAACGCTTGATCTACACATCCACTACCCACTGTAAGGCCTCCTTGTTCATCTGCAATCCTGCTCTCTGTCTTACCTCTAATTCTTTCAATAATAACCCTACCGTGCACTTTACCTGGTATATTCAGTAAACTTATTCCTCTATAATTTTTACAATATTTTTTTTTTTCACAGGGTTTGACAAGGTTAAGGATCCCTAGTTTTATTGACAAACTATTTACAGGTTAAGGATTCCTAACTTTATTGACAAGCTAAGAGCTGCTACCTACATCAGCTCATTTGAAAGCATTTTTATTGTTATGAGACATACAAGTAGGGAACAGGATGAAGTTGGAGCCATCTGTGGGCCAGCATTTTCATTTGATCAACTGACGTTATCTCGTTGACATCATTATGCTGTACGAATGTGTTCCATACTCGAGTCATCCTGGGTATATATGATCTCAGATGGAGTGATGTTCTGGAGAAGGGTACAGCCAGAGTGAAGTTGCTGCTTTCTGCCCGTCTTATGGCATAAAAGCTTGTTTCACGCTGGCGTCGAAGTGGATCCAAGTGTGGTACTTTGACAATATTGGCCTTGTGCATAACAGTAAGGCCACCCACATCCCTCCTGTGTTGAAGGCTCTGCTGAAATGACAGATCTATCCTGGATGGGTCCAGGCGAGAGATGAGACGTCTTGCTCTGTTCTCCACTCTGTCAAGCAGTCGCAGATGAGAGGGGGGGGGGGGCAGGCAAACCAAGAAAGTGGAGCATACTCAAGTTTTTTTTTTGTCTCCCTTCCCTTCCCTTCCCTTCCCTTCCCTTCCTTTTATATAAAGGAACTATGCAAGCTCTCTGCCAATCCCTAGGTACCTTCCCCTCTTTCATACATTTATTAAACAAAACCAACCACTCCAACCCTATATCTCCCCCTGGTTTTAACCATTTCTGTCATGATCCCGTCAGTTCCAACTGCTTTACCCCCTTTCAGTCTACGTAATGGCTCGCGTACCTTCCCCACACTCACATCCTGCTGCTCTTCTTCACTCCTAAAAAAGATGTTATACATCCCTTCCCACTGCAGGAAATTACTGCCTCCCTTTCTTAAACAACATTGAAAAGTTCCTCAAAATATTCCCGCCATCTGCCCAATACCTCCAGCTCATCTAATTCCCCTACTCTGTTTTTAAATGACAAATCCAGTCGTTCCCTCGACTTTCTTAACTTATCTCCAAAAAATTTTCTTATTTTCAGCAAAATTTTTGGACAGTACCTCTCCCACTCTGTCATTTGTTCTCCTTTTGCATTTTCTCACCGCTCTCTTCACCTTTCTTTTATTCTCCATATACTCTGCCGACTTGTTAATATATATATATATATATATATATAATATATATAATATATATATATATATATATATATATATATATACATCACGCACCCAGCAGAGCTAGGTGTTGTACCGTAATCCGAGGACATACGATAGTGTGGGTGCCTCAGAGCTAATTTCATTTACTCCTCGTTTGGTGTACTAACCTCCACAAGCAGTATATATTATATTTTGACACGATCCTTAAAGGATACGATAAAAAAATGGAGATTTTAGCACTAACATCAGGGAGAACGAGAGGTCACAACTACAACCGAAAAAAAGGGTACTAAAAAAAATAAGACGCCAAAAAAAATGTCATCAGAGAGTATCAGATTGGTGGAATACTCTAAGCAGGCAGTGTCTGTGTTCCATTACTATATTCATGGGCAAGTGTTAAATCCGTATTTTGTAGAATTGGGTGGTCCTGTGGGTTAGAGCGTCGTGTGATTTTCGCTCACTATGAGGCGGACCAAAATAACACGTGTCCGAGATCTCGGCTAGTCGCAGTGTTGTTATTGACTAAATACCACTCGTTTGTGGTTACAGTACGATATATACTGTATGTGAAGGCTGGAACACCAAACGGGGAGTAGGATGAAATTAGCTCTGAGGCACCCACACCACCGTATGTCTTCGGATCACGGTAGAACACCTAACTCTGCTGGGTACGTGATCTTTGTAGGATTGGTTGGTCCTGTGGGTTAGAGCATCGTGTGATTTTCGCTCACCATGAGGCGGGCCAAAACAACACAGGTTCGAGCCCTCGGCTAGTCGCAGTGTTGTTATTGATTAAATACCACTCGTTCGTGGTACATATATATATATATATATATATATATATATATATATAATATATATATATATATAATATATTATATATATATATATATATATATATATATATATATATATATATATAATATATATATATATACATACATACAGTATATAGCTGTGTTTTTTGTGATGTGCTATACGTATTTTCTCTTTTTAGCAAATACAAAATATTAAGTTGACCGAGTGCAGGATGAAAAGGCTGTGTAGAATAAATAATCTGAACCCACGACCCATCGGCAGGAGGAAGTTACTTGCATCCGTTACCGATGAACCAGAGTAAGTTGCTGATTTATGTATGAAGCCTACGGATTTAACACTTACCCATGAATTTAGTAATGGAACACAGACACTGCCTGCTAGAGTATTCCACCAGTCTGGTACTCTCTGATGACAATTTTCTGGCGTCTTATTTTTTGGTACCCTTTTTTCGGCTGCAGTTGTGACCTCTCGTTCTCCCTGATGTTAATGCTAAAATCTCCTCCATTTTTTCTTTATCGTATCCTTTTATGATCGTGTCTCCTCGTCCCTCTGAAGTGACTGATAATTGGGTAGAGTGAATATCTTAACCACGACGTTTCATTCACACAGTGATCTTTATTACATCTACTGTCTTGATAAGCTTACGTTTCGGTTAATGCAGATATCCACTGACTGCGATTGTGGTTTAATCCACATTGTGGGTGATTACATACCATTACAGTCCTTCATGTTTATATTAATTTTCACTTCATCTAAATTTAACTCCTATGTCTTTGTGTCAGTTGAATGTGTTCGTTTGTGGATATGTGTACATAAGTTTGTGTGTGCATGTATGTGTATGAATATGTATGTGTGTTTTTTCAGTCAAATGTATTGACAGTACATACATAACGTAGAGAGCAGGTTCATTTGGAAAATAAGAAACTATCCTTATCTCTCCCTCAGGATACAAAAGGACTCACTGTGGCCCTTCTGCTTCTTCAAGACGAAGACAAACTCGCCCCCTCCGCCGTCGGCAGAAGATGAAAAGAAGAGAATAGATTCCATCCTGCGCAGGCTAAGTGAATACTCAACATTCTCAAGGGATAAAGAAGAAAAAAACATGACTGACGCGCAACCCGAGGGCTGTGATTCCATCCACAACACCTTGATGCTTCTCTCTAAATTTCAGTTTCCAGAGCATTTGGATACTCCTGTAATCAGAATCAGGAATTATCGAAGAGAGAAAAAGGCAACTGATTCAAAGCCCCGAAAACGTAAAAAAATAAAAAAATGCTACCGACATCGATGGAGTTCTTAGAAATTTACAAGCAAAATAAACTAAAAACTTTAAAAGAATGATATATTTTTTTCTTAATGTAACCAAATATTGATTAATCAGTACTATGGATATCAAATTTATGATCAGTGTGGCTAGCAATAGGCATCAGCATTTGCCAGTACTCTAGATATATCACGGGTATCGAGTATACTTAATACTAGTCCTCAGTATTCGTCAATACTCCGGATATATCACGTGTAGGAAGTGTGGTTAGTACCAGGCTTCAGTGTTACACAAAGTTGATGCTATTTATTTTGTACTTGATTGTGAGTTATTCTGTATTAACTGCTGACGTTTTACTGTTCATGTGTTTAAGAGACATATATTTTATCTTACAATATCGTGTTTCATCTGAAAAGATTTTTCATCTCTTAAGTTATTACGTTACAGTTGAGTCCTTGTAACATATTAGTTGTTTTCGTTTCTTTTATTCATATAGTCATGTAGAAAGGATAGAGCAAAATAGGATGACTTGGAGGGTGTATAAATCTGTAGTGGAAGGAAGCGTCCTAAGAAAAGACGGAGGAAGGGGGATAAAGGAGGTTTTGTGGTGTGCAAGGGGCTTGGACATACAGCAGGCATGTGTGAGCCTGTTATATAGGAGTGAGTGGAGACGAATGGTTTTTGAAACCTGACGAACTGTTGGAGTGTGAGCAGGGTAATATTTAGTGAAGGGATTCAGGGAAACCGGTTATTTTTATATAGCCGGACTTGAGTCCTGGAAATGGGAAGTACAATGCCTGCACTCTAAAGGAGGGGTTTGGGATATTAGCAGTTTGGAGGGATATGTTGTGTATCTTTATACGTATATGCTTCTAAACTGTTGTGTTCTGAGCACCTCTGCAAAAACAGTGGTTATGTGTGAGTGAGGTGAAAGTGTTGAATGATGATGAAAGTATTTTCTTTTTGGGGATTTTCTTTCTTTTTGGGTTACCCTGCCTCGGTGGGAGACGGCCGACTTGTTAAATATATATATATATATATATATATATATATATATATATAATATATATATATATATATATATATATATATATATATATATATATATATAAAATATATATATATATATATATATATTACGTAATGTGGATATGTGTGGGGTAGCCTTTACAGTTATATAGTCAGGATTTGAATACATTCTAAATCGATATTTTTAGAAATAAACGTTTATTACATTTGTATATTTCCTTTTTTTCTCCTCGAGTCCTACATAGTGACCTAATTCTCGGTATTACACATTTATATCACTAATAATAATAGTAATAATGTTTTAGCGAAAACCTTAATTGCATGACAGACTGAGACTGCTGTATGTGGCCCACTGTTGTATGTTACGCTGTTACATGAACTAGTAATTGCGTATTTGTAATTGCTTATTCGTAGCTGCAGGAACAAAGTTGTGTTTGTGGCGTAACTTCTTCAGTAATACTCATTATATAATTATTGTAAACTTCCACTGCTGGAAGCACTTGTTACATACTCTTGTAATTCATCACAATCATCTATCACTAGGTTTGTCCTGAAACATTTCCTAGGTCCTAGATGCACTAGAAGACAAAAAGAATGCAGATGTAATATACACAGACTTTGCAAAAGCCTTCGACAAGTGTGACCATGGCGTAATAGCGCACAAAATGCGTGCTAAAGGAATAACAGGAAAAGTTGGTAGATGGATCTATAATTTCTTCACAAACCGAACACAAAGAATAGTAGTCAACAGAGTAAAGTCTGAGGCGGCTACGGTGAAAAGCTCTGTTCCACAAGGCACAGTACTCGCTCCCTTCTTGTTTCTCCTCATATCTGACATAGACAAGGATGTCAGACAAAGCACCGTGTCTTCCTTTGCAGATGACACCCGAATCTGCATGACAGTGTCTTCCATTGCAGACACTGCAAGGCTCCAGGCGGACATCAACCAAATCTTTCAATGGGCTGCAGAAAACAATATGAAGTTCAACAATGAAAAATTTCAATTACTCCGATATGGTAAACATTTTTTTTTTTTTTTCAACAAGTCGGCCGTCTCCCACCGAGGCAGGGTGACCCAAAAAAAGAAAGAAAATCCCCAAAAAGAAAATACTTTCATCATCATTCAACACTTTCACCACACTCACACATTATCACTGTTTTTGCAGAGGTGCTCAGAATACAACAGTTTAGAAGCATATACGTATAAAGATACACAACATATCCCTCCAAACTGCCAATATCCCAAACCCCTCCTTTAAAGTGCAGGCATTGTACTTCCCATTTCCAGGACTCAAGTCCGACTATATGAAAATAACCGGTTTCCCTGAATCCCTTCACTAAATATTACCCTGCTCACACTCCAACAGATCGTCAGGTCCCAAGTATCATTCGTCTCCATTCACTCCTATCTAACACGCTCATGCACGCTTGCTGGAAGTCCAAGCCCCTTACCCACAAAACCTCCTTTACCCCCTCTTTCCAATCCTTTCGAGGACGACCCCTACCCCTCCTTCCTTTCCCTATAGATTTATATGCTTTCCATGTCATTCTACTTTGATCCATTCTCTCTAAATGACCAAACCACCTCAACAACCCCTCTTCTGCCCTCTGATTAATGCTTTTATTAACTCCACACCTTCTCCTAATTTCCACGCTCCGAATTTTCTGCATAATATTTACACCACACATTGCCCTAAGACAGGACATCTCCACTGCCTCCAACCGTCTCCTCGCTGCTGCATTTACTACCCAAGCTTCACATCCATATAAGAGTGTTGGTACTACTATACTTTCATACATTCCCTTCTTTGCCTCCATAGATAACGTTTTTTGACTCCACATATACCTCAACGCACCACTCACCTTTTTTCCCTCATCAATTCTATGATTAACCTCATCCTTCATAAACCCATCCGCCGACACGTCAACTCCTAAGTATCTGAAAACATTCACTTCTTCCATACTCCTCCTCCCCATAAGGAAATTAAATCTTCATCAGAGTACAAAACAAATTCCGGCCACAAAATAGAGCGAAAAACCAACGTCAAAGACCTGGGAGTGATCATGTCGGAGGATCTCACCTTCAAGGACCATAACATTGTATCAATCGCATCTGCTAGAAAAATGACAGGATGGATAATGAGAACCTTCAAAACTAGGGATGCCAAGCCCATGATGACACTCTTCAGGTCACTTGTTCTATCTAGGCTGGAATAATGCTGCACACCAACAGCACCTTTCAAGGCAGGTGAAATTGCTGACCTAGAAAATGTACAGAGAACTTTCACGGCGCGCATAACGGAGATAAAACACCTCAATTACTGGGAGCGCTTGAAGTTCCTGATCCTGTACTCCCTGGAATGCAGGCGGGAGAGATACATGATTATATACACCTGGAAAATCCTAGAGGGACTAGTACCAAACTTGCACACGAAAATCACTCACAACGAAAGCAAAAGACTCGGCAGACGATGCAACATCCCCTCAATGAAAAGCAGGGGTGTCACTAGTACGTTAAGAGACAATACAATAAGTGTCAGGGGCCCGAGACTGTTCAACTGCCTCCCAGCATACATAAGGGGGATTACCAATAGACCCCTGGCTGTCTTCAAGCAGGCACTGGACAAGCACCTAAAGTCGGTACCTGACTAGCCGGGCTGTGGCTCATACGTTGGGTTGCATGCAGCCAGCAGTAACAGCCTGGTTGATCAGGCTCTGATCCACCATGAGGCCTGGTCACAGACCGGGTCGCGGGGGCGTTGACCCCCGGAACTCTCTCCAGGTAAACTCCAGGTACTCCAGTGTCCTGTCGGCTCTTTACCTTTTTTAAGTTCTTAGTTTACAACTGTTTACCTGGAGATGGTTTCGGGAGTCAACGCCCCCGCGGCCTCATGGTGGATCAGGGTCTGATCAACCAGGCTGTTACTGCTGGCCGCACGCAACCTGACATACGAACCATAGCCCGGTTGGTCAGGTACTGACTTTAGGTGCCTGTCCAGTGCCTTCCTGAAGACAGCCAGGGGTCTTGGTAATCCCCCTTATGTATGCTGGGAGGCAATTAAACAGTCTTGGGCCCCGGACACTTATTATGTTGTCTCTCAGTGTACTCGTGGCGCCCCTGCTTTTCATCAGGGGAATGTTACACCTCCTGCCGAGTCTTTTGCTTTCATATGGAGCGATTTTCACGTGCAGCTTTGGTACCAATCCCTCCAGGACCTTCCAAGTGTATATTATCATGTATCTCTCCCGCCTGCGTTCGAGGGAATACAGATCAAGGACCTTCAACCGTTCCCAGTAGTTTAGGTGCCTTATCGCACTTACGTGTGCCGTGAAAGTTCTTTGTACACTCTCCAGGTCTGCAATGTCGCCAGCCTTGAAGGGGGCCGTTAGTGTACAGCTGTATTCCAGCCTAGACAGCACAAGCGATTTGAAGAGAATATGGGCTTGGCATCCCTAGTTTTGAAGGTTCTTATTATCCATCTTATCATTCTCCTAGCGGATGTAGATATGTTGTTGTGGTCTTTGAAGGCGAGATCCTCGGACATTATCACTCCCAGGTCCTTCACATTACTTTTCTGCTCTATTGTATGGTTAGAATTTGAGGTATACCCTGACACATTTTTAATTTCTTCAAGTTTTCCATATCTGAGTAGTTGAAATTTCTCCTCGTTGAACTTCATATTGTTTTGAGTGGCCCATTCGAATATTTGGTTGTTTGTGCGTGCACCCTCGTGTGTGCATGTGTGTGTGCGCTCGTGTGCGCGCGCGCTTGTGTGGGTGTATGATCCACTTAATATTTGTATTTATAACTCATTACAATTGTGACCGGGTGTGGACGTGTCAGTGGCTCATTACTTTGTAACTTGTTCATGATTGTAACCATGTATAGGAATGTAAATGGTTCATTACCTTTGTAACTTGCCATGATTGTCACCATATCTACCTGGAGTTCATTACCTTTGTAACTTGCCATGATTGTGACCAGATCTACCTGGAGTTCATTACCTTTGCAGCTTGCCATGATTGTGACCAGATCTACCTGGAGTTCGTTACCTTTGTAACTAGTTCATCTTTCATAACTTCGGGGTCCAGTCCCTAGACCCATTATGTACCTCTGTAATCTTTTGACTACCGCCCACAGGAAGGGTATGGGATGCATAATAAACATATTAAACTAAACTAAACTGTCCGCTTGGAGTCTCGCAGTGTCTTCGATGGAGTTCACTGCCATGGTGATCCGGGTGTCATCCACAAAGGAAGACACGGAGCTATGGCTTACATCTCTGTCTATGTCAGAAATGAGGATGAGGAATAGAATGGGAGCGAGTACTGTGCCTTGTGAAACAGAGCTTTTTACCATGGCTGCCTGGGACTTTACTCTGTTTACTATTACTCTTTGTGTTCTATTTGTCAGGAAGTTGTAGACCCATCTACCAACTTTTCCCGTTATTCCTTTATCCCGCATTGTGTGTGCTGTTACACCATGGTCACGCTTGTCGAAAGCTTTTGCAAAGTCTGTGTATACTACATCTGTATTTTGTTTATCCTCTACAGCATCCAGGACCTTGTCATAGTGTCCAGTAGCTAGGACAGGCAGGAGCGACCTGCTCTAAACCCGTGTTGCCCTGGGTTGTTTAATTGATGGGTATCTAAGTGGTTACCTGTGTCACCATTAAAGACATAGCCTCAATAATGCTGCCACTTGATACTTGAGTTCCGCAGGGAAGTGTCCTTGGTCCCCTGCTCTTCCTCATTTACATCAATGATCTTCCAAACGTATCCCAACACCTGAAACCCATTCTCTTTGCCGACGACACGAGTTATGTCATCTCCCACCCTAATCTTGCTACCCTCAACACCATTGTTAACGAGGAGCTGCTCAAAATATCGACTTGGATGACAGCCAATAAACTTACACTTAACACTGGCAAAACCTACTATATTATGTTTGGTAGCAGAGCAGGTGTTGCGCAACTTAACATTAAGATCGACAACACTCTAATTGCCCGATATAATGAGGGCAAATTCCTTGGCCTATACCTCGACAACAACCTAAATTTCAGCACCCATATCGAACACATAACAAAAAAAGTATCCAAAACGGTGGGGTCCTCTCCAAGATACGATACTACGTGCCGCAAACTGCCTATGGAAAATTTTATAGGGTGATTACCTTCATGTACCTCAACATTACATGCTTACAAGTAAACTCATTGGGAGACAACCATATTGTTTACCGTAGTCACCCCGTGTAGACATGTGAGAAAACTTAATCACCCCTGGTCACGGCAAGTGGTTCCTTCGACCTCACAATCTTATCCATATCTATCCGAGACCAGTATGGATTGGATAGCACCCACAAGTACGGTGCTACTAATTAATTGTGGACTGTATAGATTATATTAGTTTAACTGAATGAAGGGAGGTGGGGTAGGTTACACATGGATATATCCACCAAGGAAAACACTTGTACATAATCTCACCACTTACCAGATATTCTCTGGTGGTCACTTGATGTAGCTGGATCACCCATAACCTATCCAATTACAACATACCTAACTGGCCAGTATCAGTCTGCTATAACTAGAAGGGTTACTTAACTGTGGGTGATTGATACTCCTTATTCCCTCCATTCACCATCTCATTTCGATGCCCTGCTACACCGACACGGTTCTTATTCCAGCAGGACGAGGTATCCGTCGGTTTGTCCCGGTTTAGAAGTCGTGATTCCATAAAGCTTCACTATCCTCGGTACGAGAATCACGCGTTCACTCGGAACAGGGCGATCTATTTCACATCCCGCATTCTCTTAACTTAATGTTATTATCACTGATTACATTACCATTCACAAGACGATTTAACGTCTCATAATTATTATACACATTAGAGGTCACTCCATTAAGATCTGAGGCCGATGAGTGAGGATTAACACACGGGTATTTCCCCTGGACACACATCATGGCCGTGCACCAGTCACACACCGGTCGAACCATTATTCACTAATTTTACCACCTTTTTACGGTGGTCCCGTAAATCACGTTCCCTCACTCTTCACCAGGAACAGTTACGACACTTCCTATTATGAAGTGAGGCCCATATTAATCCTTAGGCCGCCGTGAATGCCAATTTCCTGGTTCCATGCTTTCCCAGCCTCCTCACTACATTCAAAAAACTCCCGCCTCCTCCTCGTGCCCCAGCTCGACCTCCCCCCGCACATCCGCGCATGCGCAAAGGGAACTCTTGGTTCTATCCTATTGTCAAATACATTTTTGACTCATATCGACACATTAAACATCTATTAGGCGCTATAGCTTCGGAAAATCAAAAAAATTTCTACACTGCCCTTCTCACGCTATACCATTCACTTATATATCCATACCTCACCTATGCTATCTGTGCTTGGGGTTCAACTGCAGCAACACACCTAAAGCCAATAATAACCCAACAAAAAGCCGCAGTAAGAATAATCACTAAATACCATCCCTGGCAACACCCCCCCCCCACTCTTCATAGATCTAAACTTACTCCCTGTTCAGAACATCCACACTTACTACTGTGCAATCTATATCTACAGGACCTTAAATTCCAATATTAACCTTGACCTAAAACGCTTTCTTGATAGTTGTGACAGGATCCACAGGCATAACACCAGACACAAACATCTCTATGACATTCCCCGTGTTCGACTAAACCTTTACAAAAATTCAATGCATTTCAAAGGACCTAAAATCTGGAACACCCTACCTGAAAACTCTAGAACTTCAGACACATTCATCCTTTCAAAAACACAGTTAGAAACATCTTATCTCCCTGATCCACCCCGACAACTACTACATGATAACCACCTGGTGGTTACAAATTACACTCACTCACACCACTGACTATAAACCCAGAAATACTAATCTTAATCTTAAAATAATAAATCCTAACTAGTCATTAGTTTGCCTTATGATACTCCAATATAGACACTTTGTATTGTGCCAAAACAAAAGCATTCATATTGCTAAACTCACAAAATTATATCTATAATTTCCTCACTAACAGTACACAAGATAGTCGTCAACAGAGTAAAGTCCGAGCATGCTACGGTGAAAAGCTCTGTTCCACAAGGCACAGTATACTGTCCCATCTTGATCCTCATCCTTATATCCGACCATAGACAAGGATGTCAGCGACGCTACCGAGAATCTGCCTTCAGTGGCGATAACCACCGAATCTGCATGACAGAGTCTCCATGCAGACTGCAAAGGCTCCAGTGCAGACATCAACCAATCTTTCAGTGGGCTGCAGAAAACAATATGAAGTTTCAACGATGAAAACTTCAATTACTCAGATATGGTAAACATGAGGAAATTAAACTTCATCAAGTACAAAACAAATTCTGGCCACAAAATAGAGCGAAACACCAACGTCAAAGTCCTGGGATGATCATGTCGGAGGATCTCACCTTCAAGGACCATAACAAATTTATAATCAATCGCATCTGCTAGAAAATGACAGGATGGATAATGAGAACCTTCAAAACTAGGGAGGCAAGCCCTGATGACACTCTCAGGTCACTTGTTCTATCTAGGCTGAATATTGCTGCACACTACAGACCTTTCAAGGCAGTGAAATTGCCGACCTAGAAAATGTACAGAGAACTTTTCACGGCGCGCATACGAGATAAAACACCTCAATTATTGGGAGCGCTTGAGTTCCTAAACCTGTATTCCCTGAACGCAGGAGGGAGAGATACATGATTATATACACCTGGAAAACCCTAGAGGGACTAGTAACCGAACTTGCACACGAAATCACCCACTACGAAAGCAAAAGACTTGGCAGAAAGATGCACCATCCCCCCAATGAAAAGCAGGGTGTCACTAGCACGTTAAGAGACCATACAATAAGTGTCAGGGGCCCGAGACTGTTCAACTGCCTCCCAGCACACATAAGGGGGATTACCAACAGACCCCTGGCAGTCTTCAAGCTGGCACTGGACAAGCACCTAAAGTCAGTTCCGGATCAGCCGGGCTGTGGCTCGTATGTTGGTTTGCGTGCAGCCAGTAGCAACAGCCTGGTTGATCAGGCTCTGATCCACCAGGGGGCCTGGTCTCAGACCGGGCCGCGGGGGCGTTGACCCCCGGAACTCTCTCCAGGTAAACTCCAGGTTAGCTTTAATACCATAATCTGTAAGGATTTAATGTTAAGAATTAATCTAAGTCTGCTCGAAATGCCTAGCCATGCTAGGTGTCCTAGTGACCCCCTCCGTAATTAGTATTTTATAACATGTAAACCACACAATACCCAAAACCTGTAAACCCCACATTGTAACCCTTATAGAGAATAAACTTGAATTGAATCGAATTGAATTAATATTTCTTCCCATGCAAGAACACTCGACAGAGCGTAAGCTGTCAGTGGCCTTTACAAACCCCAACAAGAAGAAGAAGAAGAAGCAGCATCATGGTGGTGTCTGAGGCTGGCAACTGGTGTCTCATTGAGAGTGACCCCGGGGTCTTCACTGACCTCATACACAAGTTTGGTGAGATGATCTAACATCCTCATCACCTGGCACACCTGTTGCCTGCTATAGGCCCTCCTTCACACTTTATTTCCTCTTTAAATATCTGACAAACCAAGCATGGAGATCCACAACGAGATTCAAATGTTAATATCTCGTATATTACATTCTGGCTATGGTTTTTAATAATTTAATATATAATAATAATCTCCGCACTGCGGTCATGTATCCTCGGTCAAATATTTTATATTTATGGTGAGGCTTTTATAAAATAACAATGTTGCTAATTGGGATTAAGTCATTACATTTTTTTTTCTAAGTAATTTTCACATGTTACTGTGTAACATGTGAATCATCCAAAAATTGTGTAAATCATCCAGAAATTGTGTAAATTAACTAAATAGGCAAATGTAATAGAAATTTAGCACTAAAATTAAGTAAAGTTTTTGTTTAAGCCTCGTATGCAATTGCAAATTGTTGCAGTGGATTTATATAGTAAATTATGTAGAATTTGGCCTAGGATAGCCCAGCGAAGTCCAACAATATGACCTATTTGCATTGAGGTTTAACCTATGTAAGCATATTGAGTTCTTTATCAATCAATCAAGTTTATTTTCTATAAAGATTACAATGCGGGGTTTACATTTTATAGGATATTGTGTGGCTTATGTATTATAAAATACTAATTACAGAGCAGGCCACTATCACACCTAGCATGACTATAGTGTAAATATAGTGAAACTCCCTTAACTATGCTGTTATTTATATGTTAAAAATGTTAAGTATCACATTGAGGGCTGGGAGAAGGGAGAGAATATAGCACTACAATATATGAGTGATGTTATAGTACCATGGTGTCTGTTTCATATTACCATACCAGAGAGAAAGAATATACAGGCACAATACCATGAATGGAATACATAGATAACCCACACATAGGGGAAATAAACTTATGACAGTATTTCAGTCCGACTTGGACCATTAACTATGTTGGACCAAAATGTCATCATAAGTCTCTCCTATGTGTGGGTTATTTGTGTAGTGTACTATACCGGAGTTTCAGTACAGTACTATTGTACATTATCGTGGTGGCCATATAATATGGGACTCTTGCACAGCATGATACAGTAGTACGGTATTCACATTGTAGTGCTGCTGTACCAAAAGGGGCATAATGATAGTACTGTACCACAATGGGTGGAAAAGTAGAAGCCAGCACTGTTATTCTGTAAATTACCCATATCCTGACTGCACTCACTCCAGAAAGCAGTCTTTATGACCACATATCCATTTTTTAAATCCTCCCTAATTATAATTTTCAAATCTGTATCTGTTGAGTTGGCATTGTTCTTTAATGTTAGTTTCCATTATTGAAAGTCTATTCTTTGAAATAACATAAAATTTTCAGGAGTGAAAGGTGTCCAGGTGGAAGAAATATGGAGTTTAGATGATGATTCCTTCACAAATCTGAAGTAAGTGTTTTAATTTCATACGTCTTTATAATAAATAAATATGTATATTATACATATCGGTTATTGTAACCTAAACAGACATTATCTATCATATACAGGTCCACCATCACAAATCCGGAAATCAGACATCCAGTTTCATCAGTTATTCGGCACTAATTTCGGCTAGCATAATTCCAAATTTCCAGGGTCACCACACCAACCTGCTGGTAATGTTTGGTGGTGCTACTTGTTGCAAAAGTCATTCCAGTTTCTTTTTCTCCATTTATTGTTATAACCTGCTTACTTTTAGCCCTAGCCATGGCTCCAATGAATAAAAGAAATGCTTCTTGTTGTGTATAGCACAGACACAGTATATTGTCCATAAAAGATAAGGTGGCTTTGAAGCCACTGTCGGTTGCCATGAGCTCAGTCTCGTGATGCAGGGGAATATGCTTTATTATTATGCTAATATCAACTCTGTGGCTTATTTGCTTATCACAATTGATCTAATATAATATAATAAACAATATAAATAACATAAAAAAATGTTAAATACTCCAGAATGAATAATATTTGGCATAATACTGAGCAGTTCGACGGAGGTATGAAGAGGATATGGGATACAAGTACCATCCTCCTCTCCCTGTCTTGGGGGCTTAGAGAAAAAGGAGTATAGCACAGGGCTGTGATATACATTCATAATACACCATAAAACTGAAACAAAAAGCTATTTTCTCTACATAGATTATTATACATAGCAGCATATGTGTAGAGAACCTAGGATAAACCAAAAAAGTCAAAGTGACTTATTTCTAGTACCTGGCTTAAGCTTGCCGTATACGTGTATGTTTTTTGGTAAACATTTTTTTTCTCATTTGTTCGCTATCTTGGGCAATGTATGATGGAAAGATGCTTCTTAACGTACACCAAAAATGAAAGAAATTGGACCATAAATAACGGAGTTCACTTCTCAGCCATTAGCCGCCCTTTAGCGGTATATTTTTGTATGGTTTTTATGGTTGTATTCTCGTTTTTTTGGTATCATTTGATAGAATGGAAGCTATATTATAGAAATAGATATGATTTTGATTGCTTTCACGACAAAAAATACCTTGAAATTGAGCTCAGAGTAGCAGAAATGTTTGATTCTTTGGTGATGTTCAAGAGTAAACGATGACGTCACCAGCCAATATGTGTCTGACTGGCCAGTAGTCTGCATAACAGTAAATCTATTTTTTGTGTGAATAAAAATTCCAAATGGTAAGCAGAGTAGCGGAAATGTTCGATTTTTGCCGATGTTCAGTGAACTTTCTTGTGTAAGTCAAGTTGGTTAACTTCATTAAGTGTATTCTAACCTAACCACTGTGTAATCCGGCAAACTCAATAATCCAGCACACTGCAGGTCCCAATCATGCCGGATTTGTGATGGCGGACCTGTACTGTTTCAAAAACTATGTTTCACTATTGGAGCTTATAATAAAACAACTTCTTATACTAGAATAAAACTAACACAGTGTAGTACAAATTTATATACATACTGTGCTGTAATTATTGTACAGGTCTCCCTCAACATTCGCGAGGGTTAGGGGATCAAAAGCCTCGCGAATGTTGAAAAACTGTGAATGTTTGGTGCCCCAATATATTGTAGGGAAATATATTACAATACTGCTTCCTTAACTTGTTGAACCATGAATAATCATAAAATACATGAAAATGTCGTAAATTGTACTAAATATACATGTATACATGTTATGCTTTAATAACGTATGTTATTTAATAACATGTATGTTAATAACATGTATGTTATTAAATACCACTGCCTCCACCACTGCCTCAACCACTGCAAGTCCCTACTACCCTCCCTCCGACCCCAGCAACTGGCAGCCAGCCCTCCCACCACTCAGTGTGGTGAGTGTTTTGTTTGTTCGTTATTTGCTATTAAACTACAGAATAAATAATGTAAACCCATTCATGACTGCATATTGGAATGGCTGTTAGGAAAGGTATTAGATGGTGACATCATGTGTTTACTCTTGAACACAGCAAAGAATCGAACATTTCTGCTATTGCTAATAATAACAATAGTAATAATAATAACAATAATAATAAATACGATATAATTGGAGAAGGAAATTGTACAAAAATACGAGGGAGGGGTTGACACATCGTCAGTGTGACTTTGTTTATGCTGGAGTGAACATTAGTCTCCCTGCTCTTCCAAACATTTCACAATAATTCAGCGGTTGAGGCAGTGGTATTTAATAACATATATGTTATAAATAATAATAGTACATATTATTAATAACATGTATTATTATTAACATGTATGTTATTAAATACCATTGCCTCAATCACTGCCTCTACCACTCCAGTCACACTCAATCTACAAGCACCAAACACAATGAATTATTGTGAAATGTTTGGAAGAGCAGGGAGACTAATGTTCACTCCAGCATAAACAAAGTCACAACTGATGATGATGTCAACCACTCCCTCGTATTTTTGTACAATTTCCTTCTTCAATTATATCATATTTTATTATATTATTATTATTATTATTATTATTATTATTATTATTATTATTATTACTATTGTTATTATTAGCTGTAGCAGAAATGTTTAATTCTTTGCAGTGCTCAAGAGTAAACACATGATGTCACCGTCTAATACCTGTCCGAATAGCCATTCCAATATGCAGTCATGAATGGGTTTACATTATTTATACTGTAGTTTAATAGCAAATAATGAACAAAACACTCACCAAACTGAGTGGTGGGAGGGCTGGCTGCCAGTTGCGGGGGTCGGAGGGAGGGTAGTAGGGACTCGCAGGTGGCGGGAAACTTAAATATGATTTGGCAGCTGGGAATTTGGTGGCTGGGAATTTGGCAGTTGGGAATTCGCAAATGTGTGAAGCCCGTGAAAGTTGAAAACGTGAATGTTGTGGGAGACCTGTACTTTTTTTTTTTTAACAAGTCGGCCGTCTTCCACCAAGGCAGGGTGACCCAAAAAGAAAGAAAATCCCCAAAAAGAAAATACTTTCATCATCATTCAACACTTTCACCTCACTCACACATAATCACTGTTTTTGCAGAGGTGCTCAGAACACAAAAGTTTAGAAGCATATACGTATAAAGATACACGACATATCCCTCCAAACTGCTAATATCCCGAACTCCTCCTTTAGAGTGCAGGCATTGTACTTCCCATTTCCAGGACTCAAGTCCGGCTATATAAAAATAACCGGTTTCCCTGAATCCCTTCACTAAATATTACCCTGCTCATACTCCAACAGATCGTCAGGTCCCAAATACCATTCATCTCCATTCACTCCTATCTAACATGCTCATGCACATCTGCTGGAAGTCCAAGCCCCTCGCCCACAAAACCTCCCTTACCCCTTCCTTCCAACCTTTTCGAGGACGACCCCTACCCCGCCTTCCTTCCCTTACAGATTTATACACTCTCCATGTCATTCTACTTTGATCCATTCTCTCTAAATGACCAAACCACCTCAACAACCCCTGTTCAATCCTTTGACTAATACTTTTATTAACTCCACACCTTCTCCTAATTTCCACACTCCGAATTTTCTGCATAATATTTACACATCACATTGCCCTTAGACAGGACACCTCCACTGCCTCCAACTGCCTCCTCGCTGCTGCATTCACAACCCAAGCTTTACACCCATATAAGAGTGTTGGTACTACTATACTTTCATACATTTCCTTCTTTGCCTCCATAGATAACGTTTTTTGTCTCCACATATACCTCAATGCACCACTCACCTTTTTTCCCTCATCGATTCTATGATTAACCTCATCCTTCATAAATCCATCCGCCGACACGTCAACTCCCAAGTATCTGAAAACATTCACTTCTTCCATACTCCTCCCCAATTTGATATCCAATTTTTCTTTATCTAAATCATTTGATACCCTCATCACCTTACTCTTTTCTATGTTCACTTTCAACTTTCTACCTTTACACAGACACCCAAACTCATCCACTAACCTTTGCAATTTTTCTTTAGAATCTTCCATAAGCACAGTATCATCAACAAAAAGCAACTGTGTCAATTCCCATTTTGTATTTAATTCCCCATAATTTAATCCCACCCTTCTCCTGAACACCCTAGCATTTACTTCTTTTACAGCCCCATCTATAAATATATTAAACAACCATGGTGACATTACACATCCCTGTCTAAGACCTACTTTTACTGGGAAGTAGTCTCCCTCTCTTCTACACACCCTAACCTGAGCCTCACTATCTTCATAAAAACTCTTTACAGCATTTAGTAACTTACCACCTATTCCATATACTTGCAACATCTGCCACATTGCTCCCCTATCCATTATCCATTATTGTACATACATATTAATAAGAATTTAAGTACAGTTAAAAATTGAGCATCTGTAAACTTACCTTGTGGAAAATGGCCAATGTGTTAAAAATCTTTTCTTTTTAAGAGAGATTTACCATAGGTACTACATTATCAATTAGAACAAAGTTGGGTACTTGAATCCAGTAAGGAATTAGGATGGTGCCTTTTTAATAAAAAAAAGGAAGGGAAGGTGGTTAAGCAAAGGTAACCGGAGGGTAAAAACACATGGACCATACCATGGTCATATAAAATACCAGTATATTGAGAATGGCTATTAATTCAATTTTGTTCCTCAGGCCTGTGCATGGTCTCATTTTTTTGTTCAAATGGCAGCAAGAGGAGCAGCTTTCTGGTACAGTGGTGCAAGATAATCGTTTGGATAAGATATTCTTCGCTAAACAGGTAAGTGGGATAACAATTTAGTAAAATAGCATGTAGATGTAAAAGATTTTTCTAAGTAATAACCAGCTCTGGCTAATGGTTATTTTGGAAATAATTAGATATTCCATCCATTTCAAGATTAGCCATTCTAATGAGCCACCAGCCACTTATTAATGAGTAGTGAGCAGTTGAAGGGGAGTGCATTAATGCTGGGGCTCTTGGCCTAAGGAATTGGTGCTGTCCTCCCCTTCCTTGGATCAGATCTAATTTCCATACATCCTATTGTCCAGGCAACGTATGGGCCTTACATAAACAGTGGACCCTCGAATTTCGTAATTAATCCGTTCCAGAGTCTGATGAAAGGCGAAATTTACGAATGGTGAAACCATTTTCCTCATAAGAAATACTGTAAACCCAATTAATCTGTTCCAGACACCCAAAAGTATTAACAAAAATTATTTTTTTATAGATTGAATATAGAACACTAGATCACTAGTTCCATAAGGAAAACGCTGAAAGAAAAGCGATCTTCTCGGAATCTTTTTTTTTCCCCGAGTCAGGAGGCTGGCTGGCGTTCCAGGCGAATATCTGGGAAGCAAGTTAAAGCCCAGCCTTTATTATTGAAGTAATTTAAATGATTTTCCCAGAATAATAAAACAATGATTGTTCTACAATGTGGCATTGGGAAATTGGAAATATTCCAAAATATTGCCAAATTTTGTTTTTCTAACCATGGGTCCTAAGAAAGTAAGTGCAAAGGACAGTGCTGAGAAGAAGAAGAGGATGATGTCCATTGAATTAAAGCATGAAATCATAGAAAAACATGAGCGAGGTGTGCGTGTAGTCAACTTGGCGAGGCAGTACAAGCGTAACACTTCTATGATATGTACCATACTAAAGCAGGAGTCGATAAAGGCTATAACACCAGCCAAGGGCGTTAAAATAATTTCTAAGCTGCAGACCTCTGTCCATGAAAAGATGGAGAAGCTGCAGTGGTGGAGGAGATTGTGTCCCTTGACCCACCACCTCTACCAGCATCTATCGTTAGCCCAAGTCGTCTGATCTCCAAGGTAAATACACTTTATAAAACCAGTTTATTTCTTTACATTCTCTTTTATTATGTTTTTATACAATATTTCTTATTTACAAGTACATTTTTCTTATTTAAAAACCCGTAACAGAAAAATTGGTTTTTTTTTGGGGGGGCTGGAATGGATTAATGGCATTTCAATTAATTTCCTTGAGGAAAATTTATTTGATATACTACGAGCAAATTGAGTTATGAATGAATTAAACTCGTAAGTCAAGGTACCACTGTAAAAGCATTTCACCTCAAACTATACAGCTTATGATATGCACCAAAGCATAGATGGTATCAACATCTGAATGCTTTAATGCCTATTTATTAATACAGCATGACTTAAAAAAAATTGTACTTAAATAAATAGCATTTTAAAGAGGTTTTCTATTGTTTACTAAAGTTTAGGTGTTGACTTTAATCTTACACAGTTGAGCCCTATTAGTCACAGGGTTCAGTTCCCCGTATATGAGGCGAATATGGAAACTGTGGATAGAAGTTGTGTGCCAAGCAAAAAGATGAAGGGGATTAAGAAAAGTCATAAATACGAGGATCATGACTTATGGGGTTTAACCTAGTTCAACTCGGTAATTTATATTCTTTATGTTCATGTTCATGTTGTTTTCTTGGTCCCCATTGTTTTTCTTGCTTGGTGCATAACATATATCCCTAGTTTTCACATTTGCATCATATCTGGAAACCTAACCTCTGTAAACTATGGGGTTCACCTATTTTACAATGCCTCCTGCTTAGTTTATCAAGAGTTTTTGGTTGATATTAATAAAAAAATTATATTTGTAATAATAACTGTACAGTTTTAAGTAGTAGGTTGGTAAACAGCAACTGCCCAGGGAGGTACTACTGTCCTGCCAAGTGAGTGTACAACGAAACCCTGTAGTTCTTTTACATGATGGTAGGATTGCTGGTGTCCTTTTTTCTGTCTCGTAAACATGCAAGATTTCAGGTACGTCTTGCTACTTATACTTACACTTAGGTCACACTACACATACATATACAAGCATATATATACACACCCCTCTGGGTTTTCTTCTATTTTCTTTCTAGTTCTTGTTCTTGTTTATTTCCTCTTATCTCCATGGGAAAGTGGAACAGAATTCTTCCTCCGTAAGCCATGCGTGTTGTAAGAGGCGGCTAAAATGCGGGGAGCAAGGGCCTAGTAACCCCTTCTCCTGTATAAACTACTGAATTTAACCCTTAAACTGTCCAAATGTAGATCTACGATTTTTCAACATTTGAAAGTATGTAAAAAAATGTAGAGCTTCTTTTTCTTTTTTTTACATTTGAAAACGTGTAAAAAAAACTTTGATCTACATTTTTTTTTTTTATATTTGAAAATGTGTAAAAAAAGTAAATCTACTTTTGGAGCACTATGCATGTGAGTGTAGATCTGTTTGGACAGTTTAAGGGTTAAAAAGAGAAACTTTCGTTTTTCTTTTTGGGCCACCCTGCCTTGGTGGGATACAGCCGGTTTGTTGAAAAAAAAAAATACATACACACTCCTCTTGGTTTTCTGCTATTATCTTTCTAGTTCTTGTTCTTGTTTATTTCCTCTTATCTCCATGGGGAAGGGGAGCAGAAGTCTTTCTCTATAAGCCATACGTGTTGTAAGAGGCAACTAAAATGCCGGGGGCAAGGGGCTAGTAACCCCTTCTCTTGTATAAATTACTAAATTTAAAAAGAGAAACTTTCGTTTTTCTATTTGGGCCACCCTACCTTGATGGGATACAGCCTGTTTGTTTAAAAAAAAAAAAAACTACAGTAAGAATGAATTTGGACTGTGGGCATGATACGTAGATGCCTCAGAGATGTGAAGTAACTGCAAGTATTCAGTTTAGGTTTCTGAGGCACTTTACACATAAGTGATGAAAGATTCATTTGATATGGTCTGTATTTGTGGCACTTGTAATAAATATTACTTGAACCGAAACTCTCGAAACTCTTCAAAGGTATACAATGTGTATACAGTACTGTATATTAATGAAAAACTTCTTTTCAGATGATAAACAATGCTTGTGCCACACAGGCGATTCTATCCATATTGCTCAACACAAAGCATGTGGACCTACAGCTTGGGAGTACTCTTACTGAGTTTAAGGAGTTTACACAAACATTTGATGCTCATATGAAAGGTTTAGCACTCTCCAATTCAGATACTATTCGCAATGTGCACAACTCGTTTGCCAGGTAAGTGAACTGAGGAAACATGAAAATTGATTAGATTAAAATCAGGACTGTTGATCACTAGATAGGCATGTCATGCTCCCACTATCCACCTGCTTGTATAATTTATAGCATTAAAATTTTTTGAAACATGGAAGTTCAGTGATATATTTTGAAAATCTGTGTTCAGATTTTCCTTGTTGCATAGTTATATGTTGTGAGTTGATCACAGAGAGAGTGACAGGTAAAGGCTGTAAGAAGGTTGTGGGTAATTTTGACACAGAATTTTATTGTAGCCTATATAAAAAATATCTTCCCTGTCTTTATTTTGCACCTGCAAGCTAAATTTTTATTGCTAAAGTTACCCTTGTAGAAACAGCAACATGAACAAATTATCAGGAAAACCTCCATGTTTGTGTATTAGGTACAGTAATTAAAAGACATAAATGTTGTTTGTAGCAAAATATTTATATGAAGGTAGAATTTTGTTCTCATCATTCACTGTATATGCTGAAAATTTTAGATATGCATATTCAAAAAAATTTTGTTTTACACTTGAAAGTGCACATCTAAGATTAGTAGATGGTTAACACTGAACCTTCTTTTAACAGGCAGACACTCTTCGAGTTTGACAAGCAGCAACCCTCAGAAGATGACGATGTGTTTCACTTTGTGGGATATATTCCCATTGAAGGTCGTCTATATGAGCTGGATGGCCTCAAGGATGGTCCAATAGACTTGGGACCAATATCTCCTGGTACAGATTGGCTCACAGTTGTACAGCCAGTTATTCAACGACGAATTCAGAAGTAGGGTGCTTTTTGTTTTCTTTTTTTAAATATTCAGTTTGTTTTGCAGTATATAAAAGTACAGTGCCTTTACCTTTGATATACTTTTGATGAGTTTCGAGAGTCCCACTACTCTCGGAGCTCGGCCATGGGCCAGGCTCATCTGGTGCTTGCCTGGTCAACCACGCTGTTGTTGCTGGAGGCCCACTGCCCCACATATCCATCACAGCCTGGTTGATCTGGCACCTGGTGAAGATACTTGTCCAGTTTCCTCTTGAAAACTTCTACACTTGTTCCAGCCGTGTTTCTGATATCTTCTGATGAGATGTTGAATAGTCTGGGGCCACAAATGTTGATACAATGTTCATTTATTTATTGTTATGTTTTATAGTCAGTGAAGACAATTTATGTACTAGCCTATGACATATTTGGCTTTTTAGTTTTCCATAATTTACAAGGCAATAATATATGCAACTTTCCATTTTTTGTAAGCTGATGGGAAGTACAGCAGTGTAATTAGGTAATAAGATATTTAGATCCTTTCTTACCTTGTTAACCTTACTAAACAGTTTCAGTTAAACTGAATACCATACTATATGCACAATATAAACTCTTACTGCACTGCAGTGACTCAGCAGATAATATAGCAAGAGAAGCATTTCTCTATAGGATGCAACAGAGTAGACAAACCAGTACAGTATTACACATTCTGTCATGCTTGGACTATATATCCTCCCTCCCTTACATTACTTTACTACTAGAACTATGCATAATACAACAATATATTCTTTTCTTTCTTCTCTCAACAAACAGGCCGTATCCCACCAAGGCGGGGTGGCCCAAAAGGAAAAACGAAAGTTTCTCCTTTTACATTTAGTAATATATACAGGAGAAGGGGTTACTAACCTCTTGCTCCCGGCATTTTAGTTGCCTCTTACAACATGCATGGCTTACGGAGGAAGAATTCTATTCCACTTCCCCATGGAGATAAGAGGAAATAAACAAGAACAAGAACTAGAAAGAAAATAGAAGAAAACCCAGAGGGGTGTGTGTGTATATGCTTGTACATGTGTGTGTAGTGTGACCTAAATGCAAGTAGAAGTAGCAAGACGTACCTGAAATCTTGCATGTTTATGAGACAGAAAAAAGGACACCAGCAATCCTACCATCATGTAAAACAATTACAGGCTTTCGTTTTACACTCACTTGGCAGGACGGTAGTACCTCCCTGGGTGGTTGCTGTCTACCAACCTACTACCTAGGACAACAATATATATGTAATGTAAACCTTTGTAATGTCATGGAAAATAAACTTTACTGCTTCATCTTACTATTATCATGCTCTATATTCATTATTTTTACTTTTGATTTTGACTTAAGATGAAATGTTGTATTATTTAGTAATAGCTAGAGCAAATCTTTGTGTTCATGTTGCTACAAGTTCTTCATAATGCTATACAGCACATTTTTAATACAATTGATTTTTTCAGATACAGTGAAGGTGAAATTCACTTCAATCTTATGGCTATCGTCAGTGATCGCAAGATGGTTATTGAAAGGAATATTGTACAGATACAGAGAGAAATTGAGGTAATTTTCTTGGTTCATACTATCTCAGCATTCACAAAAAGTACATAATACATAAATATGATGTTATTGATATTTTCTATAATTTTTTATAAATTTCATATGTAATAATTATTTGATATATTTGAATACAATCTTCTTAAATGTGAGACAAATTAGATGTATGTATTAAATGCAGTGAATGACTTTTGTATTCTTAGGAAAGTGAAATGGACACTTCAAGTCAAGAGGAAGAATTGGCACGTCTTCGAGCAACCCTAGAATCTGAAGAAACTAAGCGAGCTCGCTGGCAAGTGGAGAATATTCGCCGCAAACACAATTATCTGCCACTCATTGTCAATATGATGAAGATCCTGGCAGAAGAAGGCAAATTGTTGCCAATTTACCAAAATGCTCGGGAAAAGGCCCGGGCACGCCATGAGAAATCTAAAGAAAAGTCTAAAGAGAAGAGCAGTGCTTGACAGGAAACAAGACAGACTATAACATTTTAAAAATGGGATCAAATTGTGGAAGTTAATTGTGAAGATGCAGGTTTTGGTACTGAACATTAATCAGTACATTTTATTGCATGTTGAACTTGAGAGGTGGAATGGATGTGTCCTTGTTGTAAATTACACCTTCTGAAGACATCTTGATAAACTTTAAATTAATTGCTTAATAATATTGATCTTTACAGATTATGTTTTGTTTATGTAATAAAAATAACTGAACTATGTTTTTTGATAGATAAAACTATACCTGGAGTTTATTCTTGCTTTTATTGGCATGAGTTGTAATGGACTATATAAGTTTTATGGAATATTTAATATAAATGGGCTATCTTGGCTTCCTTTTAGATTAATAAATGCATAATATTTTAAAAATATATTTTGATCATACTATGTACATCTTGTCCTATATTTGACCTTGCTACATTCATCTTGTACCATTTCCTCAATAAAGCCATGTAATGTGGCAAGTGAAAATAATTGTGTTAATGAGTTTCAACCTAGTTTATTGTATTATTCTAGTATTTCTTCAAGGGTCTTCTTTGATGCTGGTGAGGGATTTGATCCAAGGGATTGGAACTACCCTCCCCTCCCTCAGATCAAACCTGATTACCTCCCATTCCTCAGATGCTGTATCACTCTTACAGGCTTAGTGCTTCCCTGTGATTATAATACTATTCTAGTGCTGTATGACCCTGGTGGGTTTAGCACTTAGTTTTGATTATAATAATGATACTATTCTAATATGCTTAGCTAGAATATGTATTTGTTCCTTGTGTTGTAGACTAATGCTACCTACCACTTCACAGGGCTTCAAGAAAGGAAATTACCATTTTTTGTTGTTGAACTAGAGAAAACTAGGAATAATTTTCCTTTGAGAGTTCTTAGTTTTCAGTTCTTAACTACCATACTATGGATAAATACAGTACCTTTACACAAGGATTTTCGTGGATCAGTCCACATTTTGAGCATCTTGGGTTGCAGGGATGGTGATGAGGAGGGGTGAAGGTGTTGCTGGGAGGGATTGGAGGTTGGTGGTGATAAGGAAAAGAAAGGTAGTGGTTAGAGGGAAAGAAGGATGATTGGTATAGGAGATTGAAGAAGGGTGATGGAGATGGGATGGGAAAGGAAGGGTGGTGGGAAGTCAGAGTGGAGATAGAAAAGGAATGGTAGTGGAAATAAGAGCAAAGGATAGTGGAGATGGAAGGGAAGGAATGGTGGAGTTTGGGTAGAGAGGAGGATGTGAAGGGTAGTAGAGGGTTATGTATGTGTTAGTATAAATAACAACAGATAACACTAACTTGATTTTTACTTTGAAGGTTTAATAACAGTAAATGCTATACATGCTTTTAAAAAGTAGAAAATACAAAATACTATATGATTCATCTTGAATATATAATGAACAATCTGCTGTACTTTATTCTGGTAAATAAAAAGTTTAGGCAGCCTTAGGAATGTACAATGTACATACAGTGGACCCCCGCATAACGATTACCTCCGAATGCGACCAATTATGTAAGTGTATTTATGTAAGTGTGTTTGTACGTGTATGTTTGGGGGTCTGAAATGGACTAATCTACTTCACAATATTTCTTATGGGAACAAATTCGGTCAGTACTGGCACCTGAACATACTTCTGGAGTGAAAAAATATCGTTAACCGGGGGTCCACTGTATTTTCATAGTAGTGATTTGTGTTTGATCATTATTTATTATTAGTGTCAGTAGGAAGACAGAAGGTGGAAGTGAATGAGCTAAAGAAAGAAGGATTATAAGCAGTTGCTGGGAGAAAGGCTCGCTACTTTGAAAGGAAATTATATTGATGTGAGAAGGATTTGTAGCTCAGAAAGGACAGAGGCAGTTGTGTCCCTGCTGGATTTCCCTGGAAATCCTTGCTGCCCCTACCCACTTTCCTGGAGAAGTTCATGTGGATGCCCAATGTTAGTAGTATTTGGAGGAAAGAGGATGTTGGATGAGTAATGTAACTGCCTCTTTTAGGGGGCTTTAAAATGCTGATGAAGGGTTTTTTATCTAGGAACTGGGGCTACTCACCCCTTTCTTGGATCAGGACTGAGTATATCTCATTCCCTAATTCCCTAGGGATTAGCATTTCCCCATGACTAATAAAAATGATGCAATGCATATCTGAAATTGGTAGTGTAGTGTGTTGTTCTCAAGCAATCATAACTGTACACTCAAAAGATATCAATACATCAGATAAAAAATCAGGCCTATCTTATCAGAACTGCATAGATTAGCATGACCACAAGTTTTTATCACTTTATCTACTAGTACGAAGGTAAGCGAAACTTTCTTTTCATTCGTAATTCATTGAAATTATGTGTAATTTTAAATGTTGATTTTATTTTTCCTAGAGCCTTAAATATTAATATATATTTTAACGTTGTATAAGCGAAAAGTTCCTCACCAGAATAAAAATATAACGCTACCACAAGTGAGTGATTATCTCAAGGTTTAAAATTTAAGTACGTACTTGCTTATCATTCTTAGTCAACAGTGTGTTGTTGAGATGGGGCCCAGCAGTATTCAGAATAAGTAAGAATTTGATGTACATTTCATAATAACATCCTCAACCAAGACTCCGTGCAGTGTATCTGCTATCTTGAGAATGTGCAAAAGCAAGCAAGCTCTGCAACTGCAATGAGATAAAGAACTTCAGAGTTGAACATCAGGAGCTCTAGCAACATTTATAAGGTATGTATAAGATACAGACCAGCTCTTCATTTGAATATAATAATATGTATACAGTATATTGACAGTGGAGGGATATGTTGTGTATCTTTATACACATATGCTTCTAAGCTGTTGTATTCTGGGCACCTCTGCAAAAACAGTGATTATGTGTGAGTGAGGTGAAAATGTTGAATGATGATGAAAGTATTTTCTTTTTGGGGATTTTCTTTCTTTTTGGGTCACCCTGCCTCGGTGGGAGACTGCCGACTTGTTGAAAAAAAAAAAAAAAAGTATACAGTATAAAAGGAGACACTGAAACAAAAGTTTGTAATATATTTTTGTTGGCATAAGCTTGTGGGCAGTACATAGGAATCTATGGACACTAATGATATTAAATACTACTGTACATCTTTTTCTCCATTTTTTCTGTAAGATTGAAAAACTAACTTTTATCTTATATGTATAGCTATACATACTCTGTAAGGCTATTTTTTAACATTCCTAATAGATCCATTTACTTTTTTGTAACATTGAGCAATTTGAAATGTATTAAATTTCTGATATCACAAACAATAGGAAATAAATCCAAAGGTGGCTTGAAATTATATGTAGAGGGGCTTATGGATGGTAATCTGGTTGTAATGTGGACTGGGGGACTTGTTTTAAAACTTTATTAATATTAATATTACTTCTTTCTTTCTTTCAACACACTGGCCGTATCCCACTGAGGCGGGGTGGCCCAAAGGGAAAAACGAAAGTTTCTCCTTTTACATTTAGTAATATATACAGGGGAAGGGGTTACTAGCCCCTTGCTCCCGGCATTTTAGTTGCCTCTTACAACACGCATGGCTTACGGAGGAAGAATTCTGTTCCGCTTCCCCATGGAGATAAGAGGAAATAAACAAGAACAAGAACTAGAAAGAAAACAGGAGAAAACCCAGAGGGGTGTGTGTATATATATATATATATATATATATATATATATATATATATATATATCTTTCTTTCTTTCTTCAACACACCGGCCGTATCCCACCGAGGTGGGTGGCCCAAAAGGAAAAACAAAGTTTCTCCTTTTACATTTAGTAATATATACAGGAGAAGAGGTTACTAGCCCCTTGCTCCCGGCATTTTAGTCGCCTCTTACAACACGCATGGCTTACGGAGGAAGAATTCTGTTCCACTTCCCCATGGAGATAAGAGGAAATAAACAAGAATAAGAACTAGAAAGAAAATAGAAGAAAACCCAGAGGGGTGTGTATATATGTGCTTGTACATGTATGTGTAGTGTGACCTAAGTGTGAGTAGAAGTAGCAAGACATACCTGAAACCTTGCATGTTTATGAGACAGAAAAATGGACACCAGCTATCCTACCATCATGTAAAACAATTACAGGCTTACATTTTACACTCATTTGGCAGGACGGTAGTACCTCCCTGGGCAGTTGATGTCTATCAACCTACTACCTAGAATTAATATTACTATTATCATGTATTTTTTACATGTCATCCATCTCCCACCAAGGCAGGGTGACCCAAAAAGAAAGAAAAACCCCAAAAGAAAGAAAAAAAACTTTCATCATCATTCAACACCTTCACTATCACTCATACATCATAACTGTCTTTGCAGAGGTGCTCAGATATAACAGTTTAGATGTCCCTCCAAACTGCCAATATCACAACCCCTCCTTTAAAGTGCAGGTATTGTACAGTACATCCCATTTCCAGGACTCAAGTCTGACTAACCAGTTTCCCTGAATCCCTTCACAAAATATTACCCTGCTCACACCCCAACAGCTTGCCAGGTCCCAAAAACCTTTCACCTCCATCCTCTCCTATCTAACATGCTCATGCACACTTGCTGGAAGTCCAAGCCTCTCACCCACAAAAACTCCTTTACCCCCTCCCTTCAGCCTTTTCAAGAATGACCCCTACCCCACCTTCCTTCCCCTACAGATTTATATGCTTTCCAAGTCATTTTACTTTATTCCATTCTCTCTAAATGACCAAACCACCTCAACAACCTCTCTTCAGCCCTCTGACTAATACTTTTAGCAACTCCACACCTCCTCCTAATTTCCATACTACGAATTTTCTGCATAATAGTTACACCACATATTGCCCTTAGACATGACATCTCTACTGCCTTCAGCCTCCTCCTTGCTGCAGCATTTACAACCCATGCTGCACACCCATATAAGAGTGTTGGTACCACTATACTCTTGTACATTCCCTTTTTTGCCTCCATGGATAACATTTTTTTTTGTCTCCACAGATACCTATTATGTACTGGAGTGCAATAAAATTAATGAATTCAGAGACAATTCACTCAGAAATGTTCAAGATTTGTCAAAGTATTTTATCCACAGTGGTATATTACAAACCATTCTGGAAAAATTCCTGACTTTGCTCACTGTAAATAAAGCATTATCATGTGTGTGTGCTTGGGTGTGTGCTTGTGTGTGTGTTTGCATGTTTATTTGTGTGTTCGTGTGTGTGTGCATGTGTGTGCATGTGTGTGCATGTGTGTGTGTGTGTGTGTGTGTGTGTGTGTGTGTGTGTGTGTGTGTGTGTGTGTGTGTGTGTGTGTGTGTGTGTGTGTGTGTGTACTCACCTATTTGTGGTTGCAGGGGTCGATTCATAGCTCCTGGCTATGTGTGTGTGTGTGTGTGGTGTGTGCACACACACACATGTACTCACCTAGTTGTGGTTGCAGGAGTCGATTCACAGCTCCTGCCTCTGCCTCTTCACTGGTCACTACTAGGTCACTCTTCCTGCTCCATGAAC